GACCTTTTTATTGTTTCTCACACAGCACGCGTATGTCGACCTCTTCTCGATCGGCCTCCTCCTTAGAATGTGTTTTCAAGGTACTGGTCTGTTGTCCTTCCCCGCTCCACAAAGCGATCTGGCGGGCGCATACTCTATGTATGGCCTATTGGCCCTTAGCCTCTTTTCACTGCTATTCGCCTTTCGTTTTCAGCTGCGCCCACTAGGCTTAATCGTTGGCGCTTGGCACAAGTCGGCAACTTTTTGGGCACACTTAGAACGCCACGATCTCTGACCCATGTCTACGCAAGGTCAAAAAGGAGGAGGAGGGAACGGGAAAACGCGAGCAGGAGCTGAATGGCTTCTCGAAGATGTCTACTCGACGTAGTTTGTCCAGACAAGATTCTGGCGTGGGCTGAAGATCGCATCGGACTCGGCATTACGCTGGCGCCGCGTCTTCGGACGCACCCTATCGGCACCACAAGTACACCAGCAACCAACAATCGACAATTAACAATCGTGCCACCGTATCGCCCACGCGCGCGAGTCCCAGAGCTAAACGCACCGTGCGGCATCCTGGGGACCGAAAACACATAAAAAACCGTCGGCATGGCTCCCTCAGGACTCCTGTGCTCTCTGCTTCATGCCGAACTGGTAGGAGCCACTCGCGAGGTTGAATAAGCACACGTGGACCCAAAGCCTGAGGCGGTCAAGGACGACGGGGATGCAGTCGGCAGTCGGCCTGCGACCGTAAGGAACGCCATGTGAGGAACGGATCCCCTTTTGGGCCCCGCGGGCGCCTGGGTGCACGGGGAGCGCGAGAGGAGTAACCACGGAAGGACCCCGAGTAGCAGCGAGCCCCTTCCCGCTTCAAGCTGCTCCTTACCTTCAGCGTCTTCACTGGGCTGGGGAAGCATAGCACAGCGCGTCACTGTCCGCCAGGCGGCGGGGCCTGGAAGGCCAGCGCGGGCGGGGCGGGGCCCCCGTGTGCAGAGGTGGACGTTCTCGACCGGTGGTGCTGTGAGCTGTGCGTGCTGCAGAAGCGCCGATTCCGATCCGCTCCCATTTCGTGCCGGCGGGTGCCGGCGTGGGCCGTCGTTGGTCGTCTCGTTCGTCCAGGCGGAGGATGGGCGAGAGGAGGAGCGGCAAGCGATACGGGCGGCGGGGAGGGGGAGCAGGAGGGGAGCGCGAGGGTCGGAGGGAGAAGGGCGCAGGCAGGGGCCCGCGGGCGGTGCGGGGGCAGAGGCCGCGGTTGCAGGGACGTGCGGCACAGTGGGCGGAGAGGGGGGCGGTGTGCAAGTACACAGCACCTCGCGGAGGGGGCGTCCGCGGGATGGGTCGCAGCTGGGTCGCGCGTGGGTCGCCTGGTGGGTCGTCTGGTGGGTCGCGGGTGGGTCGCGGGCGGGTCGCAGGTGGGTCGCGGGCCGGGTTGCGGGCGAGGACGAGGACAGAAACGCAGCGAGACGCAACGAAACAACAATCCGCACCTCAGAACCCCACTTCAGCCGCGCACCCGGGGGCAGTGAATGACCGTTCGGCCCCCTCACTCTGACTCGGATGTTGTACCAAATGCCCTTGGCCCAACATGCCCCCAGGATTTCCAATGGGGTCCCCATGTCCTCCAGAGCAACCCTCACGATGCCCAGGGGGCCTGGGGCTCCAAGATGGAGCGAAAAGCTGGGAGGACCTTGGGCCAGGGGCACCTTTAGCAACCCGTGAGATACAGGCGACGGGAAAGGCCAGAAACAAAAAAAAAAAAAATGCATTAGCATAACCTTTCGGTTCCGCGCGGATCTATTTTTGATCGGCGCTTGGGCCCTCAGGTGGCGCCTCTGGAGCCGCTCCTGGCGTGGCACGCGCGCCATGGGGAGGAGCCACAAAGCCGATCCACCGCAGTTGCGGATAATAGTGAAGGCGCGGCGAGGACGTCGGCATTCTGCGAGGCTCTGAAGAAGTCCTCCGCAGACACCGAACTTTGACAAATTATGCAGAGAGCCCGCCGCATGCGCAGATTTTTTGTTAAAACAATGTGGGTGGATCGCGGGGTGGGTCGCGGGTGCGTCCTGGGCAAGGTCGCGGGTGGTTCGCGGGTGGGTCGCGGGTGGGTCGCGGGTGGGTCGCGGGCGGGTCACGGGGTGGGTCGCAGGTGGGTCGCGGGTGGGTTGCGGGCGTGGTCGCGGGTGGGTCGCGGGTGGGTCGCGGAGTGGGTCACGGGTGGGTCGCGGGCGGGCCGCAGGGGGGACGACTCAAAAACAACAAACGTAATCTTCGCCGTGGATCACAGGCAGGTAAACAGGCACGTATACAGGCAGTGAATGACCGTTCGGCCCCATCATTCTGATGCATACGTAGGCCCCAGCTGTCGGCTACGTCAAAACTGTTGTCGCAGAGGGCGGAGGGCAGGCGGGGAGGAGAGGATGCAGAGACTGGCGAGGGATAGGATGCGCAGGCCCTCCCTCGCATCCTCGACCGCCGCCGTCGGATTACACCTCCACCTCCTCCCTCCCCCTCCTCCTCCTCCTCCTCCTCCTCCGTCTTCTCGTCCACCCTTCACATCTGGGAGCAGGAACGACGGCCCGCAAAGAGGAAACGAATATCCTCAAGCTTATTTTCGGCCGACGTCGTCCACGGCTTCACCCAGAAGAGTTAGTAACGCACAACCGCGCGGATGTCTTGCATCGGCGCGGGTCCCCTTCCCCTACCGCGGGGAGATCGCCAGAGGCGGCGCCATAGGCGCCGCTGGGGGGGGCGGCGCGATATTTTTCCATGCGTGGACCTCGGAGGTCTGGACCACTTCCCCAAGGTCGGTTTCGCCACCGATCGTTTGACGGTCCCAAATGCCCGACGAAGCCCCCCTGAGGCCGAACACTACACAATAAATGCCGCTCCAATGTTCTGGGGGCGTCGGGTCTCTGGGTTCAGCGTTGCTCCAACCTCTGGCTTACTTAACCTTTCGACAACCCTCCGCGCCCTTGCTCTCGGGGACTGTGACGGGTGGTCCTGGTCCAAGCGTTTGGAGCCCCTGGGGCCTTTTGGGCCTCGTGATGGGTGCTCTGAAAGCAAGGTGGGTATCCCTGGAGATCCCGGGTACAACTTTGAAACACACACACACATGCACACACACACACACACACGCACGCACGCACGCACGCACGCACGCACGCACGCACACACACACACACACACCCAAACACACACACACATACACACGCATGCACGCACGCATGCGCCCGCACACCCACACACACGCACACACGCACACACGCACGCACGCACGCACGCACGCACGCACGCACGCACGCACGCACACACACACACACACACGCGCACACACACACACACACACACACACACACACACACACACACACACACACACACACACACACACACACACGCCCCCCTGAGGCCGAGCACACACAAACGAACGAGCACGATCACGCGCACGCGCACGCGCACGCGCACGCGCACGCGCACGCACGCACACACGCAGGCGCGCACGCGCGCACACACACATACATTCACGAACTCACGAGCGCACGAACACACAAACCCACGAACCCACGAACGCAAGAACGCACGAACACACGATCACACGAACACGCAAACACACACACAAACTCTCTCACACGCACACACACACACACGCACACACACACGCACACACACACACACACACACACACACACACACGCACACGCACACACGAACGCACGAACCAAATGTTTGCGTCGGCGGCTAGGCAGAGCGACTGGGCTGGCGGATAGGGCATGTGTAGGGCATACCGATGCGAATTAAGCCGCAATGCAAAAAAAAAAAAAAAGGACGGGGCAGCCCAACACACGCGGGAAGGAGGGAGGACCGGGCCCGCTCAGAGCGGAGCCAGGCCGCGGCAGGGGCAGCGCCGGGGCATCGGGGCGGCGGCCGCAGGGCAACCAGGGGGGGCAGCAGCAGCCAGGAACGGCAGCGCCGGGCGGGGGAAACAGGCCCAGCCTGTGCGGGCGGCGGGCAGCGCAGCAACGCGGCCGTGCGCCGAGGTCGGACCGACCTTCCAGGCGACGGGGCGCCCAGAGAAGACCGCCTCAGTGGATGGGCCGGGGGGCAGCTGGGAAAGGGCCCAGCAGAGGACCGAGCGCGAGCAGTGGCGCCGGGATCCTCGGCGAGCGGCTCGGGCACCCTGAGAGCAGGGACGCCAGGAAGGGGCGGAGCGGCGGGCGGGGCAGGCCCACCGACAAAGCCGGGCGAGGCCCGCTGGCCAGGCCTGGAAATTAGGCAGAGGGGCCGCCGGGGGGGCGGCCAGGGCCAGTCAACACCCGGGGCCGGGAGGGCCATGCCGAGAGGAAGGAGGCCCCGGGCGAAGCCCGTCCAAAACCCTGCAGGAGGCCGGCGAGCCGTGCTGCCGAGGCAGGGGAAGCAGCGGCGGGGCAGGGTCCTCCACCCAGGCAGGGGAGGGGGCGCCAGGGCGGCTGCTTCACACACCCACGCACACACACACACACACACTCTCACACACACACGCACACACACGCACACGCACACACACACACACACACCCACGCACACACACACACACACACTCTCACACACACACACACTCTCACACACACACACACACACACGCACACACACACACACAGACACACACACACACACACACACACACGCACACACACACACACACACACACACACGCACACACACACAGACACACGCACGCACGCACGCACGCACGCACGCACGCACACACGCACGCACGCACGCACGCACGCACGCACGCACGCACACACGCACCCAGGTTCCCTCATAGTTTCGACTTTCTGGAGTCTCGTATTTTCATCCAGTTCTACTATGTTCCATATCTACGTATAAAACCCTGGGAGCTGACGTTTATTTGTGTCGGTTTCTCTTCCTCCTGAACCTTGGCCGTGGCAACACACGATCCCTCCTGCCTCCTTCTCCTCCTCCTCCTCCTCCTCACAGGGGAGCGCGCGCAGATGCTGGCAAAGAGAGGGACGCCCGGTCCTCCATCATATTCTCGACCTCCCTCCTCGCCCGCTTCACCTTGGTAGGCTCGGCGGCTGAGCTGTGAGGCCCCAGGCCACCAGCAACAAGCTGCCAAAGAGGTCCAGCCGACGTGCTACCACGAGGGGCGCTGAACAGGCAACGAACAAACATTTCTGGCAACGGCGAGCCTCGGTCACGAACGGGTTCCCCGACCCAGAGCTGTGGAGCGGCCCGAGAACCAAGACGCCCTCCTGAGCCCAATGAGCGCAGTCATCCCCCCCCTCGCCCGTGTCGTCGTCGCACCTCGCCGTCGCCCCAGCACTCGTGACACGCCCCCCCCCACCACCCCCCCCGCACTCCTCGGCTCAGGCCGCCGAGGCCCGAATCTGTACATTCCAGGGCCAAGGCGAGCACAACAGCCGCGCAACTACAGCTCGGGAGCTCTTTGGCCCCATCGCGCCCATCGCCCTCGTCCTCGTCGCCTTCGCCCTCCTCGCCCTCGTCGCCCTCGCCCTCGTCGCCCTCGTCCTCCTCGCCCTCCCCTTCCTCCTCGCCCTTGTCCTCGCCCTCCTCTTCCTCCTCGTGCTGGCCCCCCATCGTCCTCCTCGTCCTCGTCCTCGCCCTCCTCCTTTTCCTCCTCCTCCTCCTTCTCCTCCTCCTCCGACTCGTCTCGCCGCTCCTGCCGCCCTCGCCGCAGCCGCACGGCGGGTGCCCGCAGAGCCCGCCGGACATCCCCCCCCCACGGGCCGCCGCGCCGCGCGACAGGCCGCGCGCGCGCCAGGCCGACGTAGACGACAACGTGCACGTGGATGTGGACGACCACGGCGGCCTCCAGCCTCTCTGGAGCCTGCTCGGACCATGCGCTCCCCACAAGGGCCGAATAGTGTCGATTCTCACGCGCAGCACGGAAAGATCGGGATTTCCTTCTCCGAACACGAACCCGACGGACGTACAGCGAAGCTCTGGCACTCTCTCCCCTTCTGCTTACACTTCCTAGGGCCAAGAGTCAGCATCAAATATCTTCCTGTCGGCCATGAGCGCCTCCTGTTTGGAAGCGGCTGTGGGGTCTGGAATTGTTGGGACCCCAGAATATCGGTCAGGAGGGGAGATGAAGCCCAAAACGCTCAAAATCGGTCCCCAACCCCCTCCTGGGGCCCATCTGGGCCAGTTCTTCTCCCGGATCCGTTTCTCACGGCCCCGGTGCCCGAAAACCGCCTCTGAACGCCAACAAAAAGACCGCAAACCTTCCCAGTACCACAACCTCGAAGTTGCTCGCCCTTCCTGCTGGGCGGAACAAGTACTGGGCCACCTCGAACCCCCACACGGCTCCAACCTCTCGCTCTCCAGCCCTCTCGCTCCCGTTATGACAACGTTGGAACAGCTTAAGTGATGGCAATTAAAAACACTCACGCGATTCACGGGTGGCGGTTGGCCCCATAGTCCAAGTTGGGACGTGCGCGCGATGACGCCATCCTTCGGCGCCACCAAAACAATCTCCCAAAAATGCAAAAATATGTCGGAGCTTCGGTGTTGCTTCCTGGTGGGCGCAAGACCTGACTATTGATGGCCTGGCTCGCCGCACTGAGCGCGTCTAGAACCTGATGCTCGGCTTCGAGCGCGCGCGGGCGGGAGCCAGCTCCGGCCCCGGACAACCTGACGAACGCAGTGGAGCGGCCAACTGCGCCATCCGCCCATAGGCAAGCGCGCTCCACTACTCGCAAAAGTAACTCCCTCGCAAATGGCCTAGATCCGCCGCGGCGGGTTCACGATCCATTACATCGAGGAAACCATGCTGTTTAAATTCGGGCGTTTGCGAGCAGGCACTTTGCGGGCAATGGAGCGCGCTCGGTGAGTTCAAACAGAGTGCGCCCTGACCTCGCCGGCCTCCGGCGGTCCTGAGCCCGAACAAACAATGACACAAACAGAAGAACTCGGAACCCCGCGCGGGCTCCTCGGATCGGCGCTGGTGCCCCCTGGCGGCGTCTCTGGCGCCGCCCCTGGCGCGCTCCGCGCGCCACGGAGGGGGGGGTCTAGCGCCGACTCAAGGACTGCGCGCTGACCTGCGAATTTTACAGTAGGGACCCGACCACAAGAAACCTTCCACAGGAAACCCAACCCTGAGACCCCAGGATGTCCATTCATTTTTGGTGTGGGAACGTCACGCTTTCCATAGCAAAGCGAAAGAAATCCAAGAAACCCAGGGCACCCTGGAGGCGAGCAGGGTGTTTCTTAGCATGGGCCGCCACTGTATGTTTATGCTATTGCTTGTTCCCCGAATCCGACGTGTGACGGGTTCGGGTGGCGCCGCCACGGGGGCCCGGCGTAATCAAGAACTCCGCGCGGACCTTCGACAACTTTATTCGCGGCATCGGAACGGATCCAATGCCTTGGGCGTCGTGCACGTTGAGAGCACAAGCGGCCACATCCGCATCCTTACACGATGGAATTGTACAAGCCGTGTTCACACACTCAGCGAACGCACGACAGCTTGTGCTTACGCCGATGTCATTCCCTGGCGGTATAAATATAAATATAAATATATATATATATATATATATACTACAACTCGGGCTGGTGGCCATGGGGGGTGACCTGAACGGGGGGTGAAGTCAAGGGCCTGAAAGGGGCCCTTCGTGTCAGGCGAAAGGGGGGGATAGCAAAGGGGGGTTTGAGTATCAGCTCACGTAGCTGATTTTCCCGGCGCCTCCCAGCGCCGGAGGCGGCAATGAATCGAGGAATGGGCCCCTCGGTGAAGCCGAAACCAGCTGCATGCAGCAAATTTCGTACCCCCCCCTTTCCCCATCCCCCCCTTTCGCCCGGCCCGAGCCCTTGAAGGGACCCCAGACGGCCTCATTCAGGGCCCTTTTCTTCACGCCCCGTCTAGGTCACCCCCCCATTGCCACCCGCCCGAGGGGTATGCTACAACATCTCGGGGACGCGCAAACGTGGATTAGCGATCCACGGATCTGGCGTGCGGTCGCCACACCCGCGGATCGGGGGAGGTGCCCGGCGGCGGAAACCCTCGGTCTCCCAGGGAAACGGCACCCGTCGCTAATCCACGCCCACTCGATACATGTTTGCGATCGCCTGAGAGGTAGTGATCGTTTGTTCATTCCTTGTTTTGCTGATCGGCGTGGGTTCCCCCACTTTCCCCCCCATTAGATCTTGGCTGCTTTTGGCGCCTGTTTCGAGCAGGTGGAGCCTCCCCCATAATGAGCGCACTGCTGCAAACAGTCGCACTATAAGCAGAGGTCTGGAGCCAAACACCCCCCCCTCCCCCCCTTCCGCCCAATGTCGGAACGCCGAGTATTTGGACGCCCGAGATGGGTACGGAAAGAATGGGTACAATGCCCAACAGCAAATGTTGTCCCAAACCAACAGCGGCCGCTGTTGGGCAGGCGGCCTTCTGTCTCAAATTGACACAGGCCGCGGCGGCGTGGACAGCGAGTCCTGATCAAAATGAACAGGAATTGCTGTTGGGCATTGTACCCATTCTTTCCGTACCCATTTCGGGCGTCCAGAGAGTAAGAAAACGCTCACGTATGCCACAACATCATTGATCCGCCCTGGGCCGCTTGCTCCTGGTCCCCTCGCCCTCTCCGAGCGCCCGGCCGACACGTCTGTGGGCCCGATGATCTCCACGTAGAGCCGCCGCGCGCCCTGTGGCGGCCCTCTCCGTGCTGTCTCTGTGAGGGCCCCCCCGAGGGGAGGGGTGGGGGGAGGGGACGGGAGCAGGGCTGAGGAGAAGCGGGCGGGGAAGGGCCGTAATCTGGGCGATCGAAATTGAGGATCTTCGCTCTTTCTGAGGGTCCTCGATCTTGTGAGGACCGTGGGGGGGGTAGGAGAGCCCAAAATCGAATCGAGAAGTCGGATCGGCAATCGAATTAAATCGGATCGGCGGAAATCGGCAGCCGAGTCGGGAGAAGTCGAATGGGCGGAAATCGGCAGGCTAGTCTGCCTCCAATAAGAAATCGGAACCCAAACCAGAATCTCAAGTCGAATCCAATCGGATTGGAATCCATCGCAATCGAATCGAATCGAATCGGGGGGGTCGAAAGGAGCCCTTTGGGGGGGGGGTCGAACTCTGAGGATCGCAATTTTTGGACGCCCTTTCTGAGCCTCCAGGGGGTGCCTCTCGGTGCCGCGGCTGGGATTCCCCTCGTGACTCTGGTCATAACACACTCCGAAATCCGGTTGCCGACGTTTGGAAGAGGGACCTAGACGTCCTCTCGTTGCTGAAAAAATGCGGGCGATTATTTCTGTCCCGTGGAGGCCCTTGCCGGGCGGCGGGGCAATTAAGAAACGGATCGGGATGAGAGCCAGTCCCCAGTTCACGATGTGAAGAAAACGCGGTGTCAGATGTCTTCGGGGGCCTGTGGAGGATGGATGGGGAAGGACTGAGGAGGGGGGGAGGGTAAGGGCGGTAGAAAGGATGCCTCTGATGCTGCTGCCGCTGCTGCTCGGTTCGTCCCCCCCCCCCCTCCCCCGCGGAGGCTGAGGAGGGGGAGGTAAAGGATGAGGGAGATGGGATCCCCCCCCCTCGCCTCCACCTCTTTCCCTCATCCTCCTCCGCCTCCTCCTCCCTCTTCCTTACCCTCGCCTCCCCCTTCGCTGAGGGCCGTGGGACTTGCTCGAGCGTGGCGCGCTCGGCCCCTGAAGGGAGTGCCTAAAGTGACGAGAGGCGTCGCCAAGAGCGAACACGATGGCTTGGCAAGAACGGAACGGGTCCGAATAGAAACGGGTCGTGTTCGGCTGCTCGTGAGCGGAGGGCAGCACAAACATGGGGGCGAAGCTCCTGGGCCCGCGGTGCCAGGAGGAGGAGGAGGAGGGGGAGGAGGAGGAGGAGGAGGAGGAGGAGGAGGAGGAGGAGGAGGAGGAGGAGGAGAAGGAAGATGAGGAGGAGGAGTAGGAGGAGGAGGAGGAAGAGGAGGAGGAGGAGAAGGGGGGGAGGGGGGAGGGGAGGAGAGGGAGGAGAAGGAGGAGAAGGAGGAGGAGGAGAAGGAGGAGGAAGGACGAGGAGAGGAGGAGAAAGGAGGAGGGGAGGAGAACTAAGGCCCTTCGGCTACTCTCCTGCAGTCCTCGATCCCCCCGCGTTCGCTGCCCCCCCCCCCCCCCCATGGCCGTCCGGGGTCGATGTGTCCCCAGGCCTCTCCTTGGGCCTGGCTTCTAGAGGGCCCCGGGTCGGGGATGCAGGGTTTCCCGTGGGGCCGTAGGCGACCCGAGGAGGAGGAGAGGAGTGAGAGAGGAGAGAGAGGAGGAGGAGGAGGAGAGGAGGAGGAGGAGGAGGAGGAGGAGGAGGAGGAGGAGGAGGAGGAGGAGGAGGAGGATGAGGAGGAGGAGGAGGGGAGGGAGGAGGAGAGGAGGAGAGGAGGAGGAGGAGAGGGGAGGAGGAGGAGGAGGAGAGGAGGAGGAGGAGGAGGAGGGGAGGAGGAGGAGAGGAGGAGGAAGGGGGGGGGGGAAGGGGGAGGAGGGGGAGAGAGAGAGGAGGAAGAGGAGGAGGAAGAAGAGGAGGAGGAGAGAGGGGAGGAGGAGGAGGAGGAGAAGGAGGAGGAGGGAGGAGGAGGGAGGAGAAGGAGGAAGAGGAGGAGGAAGGAGGAGGAGGAGGAGGAGGAGAAGGAGGGAGGAGGAGGACAGGTCGCCTGAGCCCTTCGGGCAAACCCTCCAGCTGGGGATGGCCCCGGCAACCCGAAGCTACGGCAGACCTCGCGGACCCCTCTCCTCCATGCCCGCTGCAGGGCGGGGGCACGGGGGCACTCCGGAGGCCCTGGATCCGAACAGACTGACGACTGAACAGTGTGTTCCGCCGCCTGCAGTCAGCGGAGCGGCCGGCGTTCTGGCTTTTCCGCCAGCGTTTCGACGAGGAAGGGAGGCAAACCTCTTGATGCCCCGAAGCCGTGTAAAGAGGAGGAGGTCGAGAAGGAGGAGGAGGAGGAGGAGGAGGAGGAGGAGAACGCGGAGGAGGAGGAGGAGGAGGAGGCTGAGAAGGAGGAGGAGGTGGAGGAGGAGGAGAACGAAGGACAACAACAACTGCATAAAGATAAACTTCTGAAAGTGCACTTCTTCGGTCGGCGCCAGACCCCTCCCTAGCGCGCGGGGCGCGTCAATAGAGGTCCATCGCCAATCCAAGAAATCCGCGCGAAGTCTGGAGCGTGTATATTTGTACAGATGTGTCTCATTCGATCGAAAGCCTGCGGAACTAGACTAGTGAATGGCGACATGGTGCCGCGAACTGCAACACAACCACCACCCCGATGGCCGCGTGGTCCCTCAAGGCTGGCAACGCTCGCCGGAACGGACCCCCCAAAACACTCCGGGCCCGAAAGACCCCCCAAACTTTCATAAAGACGGACACGGACATCCTGGGCTCAATCACCGCCCCTACGATTCGGGGGGTGGGCGGGAACTCCTGCAGCAGAACATCCCCCTCAGTGAAAACCACCCGGGACCAGGCCCAGCGGGCGCAAGCCCGCAATATGTGCGGCCGCAGCACACTCGCTCGAGAACTGGGACGGGGCATTTTGCTAGTCGCCTTGGCAGGGATTGGGTTAGATCAACCTCCGAATCCAACGTCGCGGACAACACAATCAGACGAAGCCAGGACGAGGGTAAAATCGGGTAAGGATAAGTCGAGAATGTCTGAGATCTGGCGGCGTTGGAGGATGTCTCGGGCTCCGCGGCGTTCTCAAAACGTTCTGGAACGCTCTGACAGCGTTCGAGCGCTCTGGAACGGATGCATCCTCGTCCTAGCCTCCTAGCCCCGCCCAACAAACGCAGACATCGCGCGGCAACATGACCAGCACCGTCGACATGGAGGCATTTCTTGAGCTAGGCGAGGCCCCAAGCTGGGCGAAGACGCCCGGCATGATAAAACCTGAACATCATTAACCCGATGCCCCTGATAATTACACCCTCGGGGGCAGAATCAGTTCATCGTCCCGGCAACTCGTATGTACGATTCGAGGTTAAGATGGTATAGCGATACCCTGCTCGCTCTGGCGGGGCCTTCATGGAGGGGTCGGAGGAGCACGGAACAGGATAAATAGGATTGTATCGCAGTGCCCTGCTCGCTCTGGCGGGGCCTTCTTGGAGGGGTGGGAGGAGCACGAAACCTGAGAAATAGCATGGTATACAGTACGTGTACCCTTCTCGCTCTGGATGGGTCTCCCTTGAGGGGTCTGAGGAGCACGAAACCTCAGGAAGTGTATGGGAGGGGAGGGCAGGGAGGGTGCGAGAGGAGAGAGGGGGGAGGGGAGGGAGACGCCAGACTCGTTTTGCAGAAACATGCCAGACTCGGGACCTCTGGTTTTCTTCTTGTAAAGCACGTGTGTAGGAGCTCATGGTGGGCGGCTTCCGCTCACGACAATCCCCAGGGATGAACAAATTGTGGGGAGGAAAGGGCCTGGGGGAGGAAGGAAAGATGAGGAGAGGAAAGGAAATAAAGAAGAGCGAGTGGAGGGAGGGCAAGATTTCGGGCAAATCCCCCAGAATGCTCTCGGCGAGGTGCAGCTGCGTGAGGGGGCTCCCAAGTCACAAACCAACGGGCCTGCCACAAGTTCGTGTTTAGGGAAAGCTGACATGATGAGAATCCCGTGGCCCTGCCGCACGTTCGTGGCGTGGGAAAGCTGAAATGGTGAGAATCCCAAGGCCCTGCCATACGTTCGTGATTGGAGGAAACTGAAATGGTGAAATTCTCACGTTCGTGAGTGTTACTACGAGCCATAAGAAGATAACAACTTCGGTTCGTACTTTCCCCAGCGATGGTGAACTTCAGCCTCGCCGCCCCTTTCCCCCGACCAACTCTGTCTTGACCCGGGATCACCATCTCTCAGGGGTCACGGTGGGGTATACTTTATTGAAGGGGCCCACAAGCACACCACTAAATACACACAAATGAAAGAATTCCCCATAGTCTCCAATCTGTGCTGGGTTTCTGTCTCCCCCCCCACTTCCCATATTTTCCCATATTTTCTAGGGAATCGACGATTAATTGTGTCTGTGTTTTTCCCCCTCCTGATTTATCATCTGGGGCATGCGGTCAGACCGACCCCTATCCCCGCGGGCGTGGCCTGGGGCCCCACTGGCCGATCTGCCATCCTAGCTGAGGATACGGGCTGTTCCGTTCGGGCTTCGAGGGGCCCGTCCCCACCTGCTGTGGTGGCGGGAGGGTGGGGCCGAGGATGCTATGGCACGGTGGAGGTGAGGATGGGCGCAAGGACAGAGCCAAAGCGTATATTAAGGACGGGTGATAAGGACGCGAGACCCTTGGAGGCCGAAGTTGGATTTTTTTAGGGCGGCGGGCGTCCAGTGGTGATGGTAAGGACGAGCCTCAGAGGCAAGGACACAAGGGTACCCTAGATGAAGGCGCGCGTCCTTACTAGGCGCGCTGACTGCATGGCACACCTGTCGCACAGAGCTGAGGCCCAAACCCAACACAGCAACGATGCTGCACAGTGAGGAGGAGGTGATGATGCGCGCAGGTCAACGTGCGGATCGGGTCCTCCTCCTCCTCCTCCTCGTCCTCCTCCTCCTCCTCCTCCTCCTACTCCCCCTCACCCTCCTCCTCCTCCTCCTCCTCCTCCTCCTCCTCCTCCTCCTCCTCCTCCTCCTCCTCCTCCTCCCCCTCAACACCGTGAGCCGCCGCGCGCCTCGCGCTGGGCCGTGGGCCGCCTCCCCCCACCCCCGGGCGTGGCCAGAGAGGCAACCACGCCGGGCTCTCCCGTCCTGTGCGGCACCCCCTCGCCCCGGGCCCTTCGTCGGTCCCAGGGGCCTCCCGGGCAGCAATGCTGGAAGAATATAGAAAGCAGACAATCCGCCCCCATGAGAACCACCCCTCAGCAAGCGTACCCAAGGAAGGCATCGAACAGGGCAGGGCTGCTTAATAAACGCCCCGGGTCGTTTTTGAAGGGGCCCTGGGGCACACACATAAATACACACAAATAAAAAAAATCCTCCTATATTTTCATATAGTTTCTGTGTTATGTCTTCCCCCCCCACTTCCTATATTTTCTTATATTTTCTGGGGAATCAGCGATTAATTGTGTCTGTGTTTTTTTCCCTCTTGAGTTTCTCCTCCCATGAACGAAAACGAGTCCGCTGGCAGCTTCCGAAGAATGGATCTGCGGGAGGCCTGGCCCGTCCTGCCCAGGATTTCCAGCTGCGCGCAGCCTCAAGAAGCGCACACAGCCTCCAAAACATCCGGCACCATCCAGATCACGAGAACACGACCCAAAACGTGAATCAACAGGTCCCCCGCCACGACAAGCCACCTCATCATGGAACGTGTATCAGGCAGGACCCGTCCTGTGGGACATGACTCGGAAATGAAGATCGGGAGCTCTCCCTGGAAGACCGCAACGCTCCTGGAATCGACGCTGGAATCGGCACATCAGGGGCACACCGTAGGGCAAAGTTGACGCAAATGTTTGCCCTATGGCTTATCACTGCCTGCCCTTCCAATCAATACGATCACCGACAACTTGCACTGGCTCCGCAGCGCCCCCCCATCGGCAATGAGGCCTCGGGCAGCTTGGCATGAGCTGCGAAATGCTGGCCCTTGACCCACAGCTTCGCGCCCGTCAACTCCTCGATCTGCAACAAGGGCTCCCTGAGCCGGTCGAACGGATGATGCACATTGGCGACTTGGCCAAACGCATCTGCAAAACAAAAGGATAAGCGGGAGTGTGGAGGAAATCTCATGCGACGCATGATTGGCTTTCTTTCCCGCCGCCGCGCTCGGCACGGCTGCTTGACAGGAGTGTGCGAGGAAACTTGCTTGGGGCCTCTGGTCGGAAGTCGCTAAACTGTGGCGGCCGTGCATCTGGATGTCACGTTGAAGTTCGCGCGACGGTAGCAACAGCTCGCAATGTTGGAAGCCCATCGCGAAACCACACTCCTACAACGCAAAAAGCTGGAACATGATCCGACTTCATGCGCAGGGCGTTACGAAGAGGGGAAGAAAGTCCTGGTCGCTCTACAGCGGGCGACAGATATTTAGTGGCTGCACAGGCCACGCACTCCCTAAAGCAAAACCTCTCAAACACCCCACAGACATCCAAAACAGAAATCTCCGTCCCCTCCTCCAACTTTCTGCTTCCTTGGGCTGACTCCAACGGAAAGGCTGTAGCGTCAAACAATGCAAATCAAACCGTGTGCGACGTGCAATGGCACGCAAAGACCTAGGACAGCATGGAAGGCAAGGCACCAATTGGGTGGTGCTATCCTTTATAATATCCGAGGGCGCGCCGCTGAATGATCCCAAGGGGGGGGGGGGGGGGGACCCCCCCCCCTTGCCCCGATCCGTCGTCGGGGGCCACCCCCCCCTCCCCCTTTCCCGATCCGTCGTCGGGGAACCCCCCCCCTTCCCGGCCGTCGTCGGGACCCCCCCCCCCGTTTCAACAGGAGGGGCGAGGGGTTCAGACCCCCCCCCCCTCCACCCCTTTGGCCGCCAACTTCGACCCCTCCCCTTTCCCCCCCTTTCGCCACGGCGCCCCTGGTCTCCAGAACCCGACCCCTACCACCATTAACACGAATCCTCACCGCTACCCTAACCCAGAACCCTAATCCGAAGACCCAATCCCAAGCCCCAAACAGTACTCACTACTCACTACGCACTACTCACCACCCACAATTCAGTACTCGCTACTTCAGTACTCACTTCTCACTACTCACTACTCACGACTCACAACCCACGATTCACTACCCACGACGCACTACTCAATACTCCCTGCTCCCTACTCCCTACACGCTACAAAGTACTCACTACTCACTACCCACTACTCTATACTCACTACTCACTAAACGCAACTCACTAGCACTACTCCCTAATCACAAATCACCACCCACTACCCACTAACCACGATTCATTACTCACTAGTCACATTTCACTACTCACGAGTCACTGCCCCCTCCACTACCCGCTACTCCTTACACAATACTCACTACTCACTACTCGCTACTCCCTACGCCCTACTCGCTACACAATACGCACTATTCACTACCCACTACTCACAATACGCACTATTCACTACCCACTACTCACTACTCACTACAATCCCGCTACCCACTACTCACTACTTCCCCTCACCCGCTACTTCCAACTCACCACTCACTACCCAGTACGCAATACTCACTACTCACTAAACACTACGCACTGCCCACTACTCACCACTCACTACCCACTAACCACTACGTACTATTGAGAACTCACAGTTCACTACTCACTACGCACTGCCCACAACTCAGTACTCACTATTCGGTACTCGCCACCGGAAACGACATATTCAGTACCCACTACGCACTATTCCCTACTCACTACTCACTACTCCCTACTTCCTACTCACTAGTGGCAAGTCGCTACTCACTACTCACTACTCACTACTCACGACTCACTACTCACTACCCACTAATTTATACCCGCTACTCCCTACTCGCTACCCATTATTCAATGCCCACTTCTCGCTTCTCACTATTCATTACTCACTACTCCCTCATCCCTACTCACTACTCACAACTGACAACTCACTACTCCCTACTCGCTACGCATTACTCCCTACCCACTACTCACCAGTGCATCCTACCTACTCCCTCCCCGCTACTTACTACTCACAACGCCCATATCGCTACATACTACTCACTACTCGCTACGCCCTAGTCGCTACTCCCTACTCGCTATTCGCTACTCACCACTCACTACTTCCTACTCTCTACTCACTGCGCACTGCTCACTACTCACTCCTCGCTATTCGCTGCTGTCTACTCCCTCACCCCTCTTCCCTGCTGACTACTCACTGTGCACTACTCACTACACACTACTCACTCCTCACTACTCACAATTCCTGACTCACTACGTCCTTCCCACTACTCATTATTCACTACTCAATACTCACTACTCACTAATCTCTACGCGCTACTCACTACTACCACCACCCATTACCCACAACTCATTACTCACCACTCACGACTCAGTGCGCACGACCCACCATCAAATACCCACTACTCACCAATCGCTACTCAAAACACTCTACTCCCTACTCACTACCCGAGAGGCCCCCTCCCCAGCCCCCTGTTCGGCGCGACAGGGAGGGAGGGGGGGGGGTCGAAAATATCACCCCCTTTTTGAAAGGGGGGGAGGGGAAGGGGGTTCTGCGAGCACCCCCCCCTTTTGTTTATTCAGGGCCATCCACTGGCGCGCGATCATAATCTTCTCCTTCTCCTCCTGAGACGCGCTCGCAGACGACAGCTGCACGTCCGATGTTCTCTCCTCCCCGTCTCCTCGAGACTGCAGCCTGCAAAAAACACAAGATCCGCCACCGTGTCTGCGGCACGTTGAGGCGTGGAAGAATACCAAGGTCTGCCTGGCATGGTTTCTGTACTATTCTAAAGGACCCCCCACGTACTCCTGGTCACACCCAGCAAGCTGCACCACCCCGACTCCCTGGGTTTCCCTTTTTGGCCATGGCGCCTCCCTGGGGATCTCCAAGGCTTCCATGACGTCCCTGGAGGGCCCCAAGACGGTCCACGAGGGCAACGATGCGCCGAACGATCGCTCGAAGACGCCCACGATGGCCTCAAGATGGCCCAAGAGGCCTTCAAGAGGCCCCAGGAGGCCTCCAAGAGGGCCCCAAGATGCAACAATCATGTATGTCCCTGAAGTGTTTTTAAAGAGTTTGGCGTGCTCACCTTTTCGGCGTTCCGACGCTCCAAGACGGCCCAAGAGGCCCCCTGGACCACCCAAAAAAGGCCCAAGAGGCATCCAAAAGGGCCCCAAGACGGCTCAAGAGGGCCCCAAGACCGCCCAAGAGGCGCCCAAGACGGCCCAAGAGGGCTCCAAAAGGAGCCCAAGAGAGGGAACACGAACCGAAATCCGCGCCGTCCGCCCCAAGAGGCCCCGGGGAGGCCCCAAGAGGTGCCCAAGAGGCCCCACGACGCCCCCAAGAGGCCCCCAAGAGGCCTCAAGAGGCCCCCAAGAGGTCCACAAGAGACCCAAAATCGGCCCCCAAGAGGCTTCAAACTGTCTCCATGAGGCCCCCGGGCGGCCTCCCACGAGACCCGAGCGAACATCCAGTGGGCTTCATACCGACAACCCAAGCACGGTGGCGGGACTTGCCGCAAGCAGCTGCATTCTATGCAAAACTGTCTGAGACAAAGGCCCGGCTCCTGGCCGTCATCCGCTTCCTCGCCACCTCCGGGTAGTCGTTGACCTCGAACTCCTGAGCGGAAGGTGCTTTTGACCAGAGGGAGAGGGTACCCATCCAGGGTCGGTGCCCGCTGCGCAGGAGGGGGGGGGGAGAGGATGCGGTGGGCTGGGCGAGGGGGGAGGGCTGAAGGAGGGCGAGGGGGCGGTGGAGAGGGAGCGGGGGCACGGAACGAGGCTGGGGGTGCATGGATCAGAGGGCGAGGGGCTGGGATTGGACGGGTCGGGGGTGGGATTTCACAAGGGGGCGAGGGGATGGGGATGGGCGGGGCGGGCTGGGGAGAGTCGGATGAGGGGAGGCTCCGAGGGGGGTGGGGGGGGGCCTCCTCGGATAAATACGGGAGGAATTGGGGGGGCGGCCCCTCTAGGGAGGCGATCGGGGGGATGAGTGAAGGTCCCCCCTCATTTCGCAGAGGGGTGAGACAGAGGACAAGGAAGGGGAAGGAGGGTGGTGACCTCATGTGTCCTGGAGGTGTGAGGGAGGATCTGACAGGAAGAGGGGGGAGGCAAGGAGGGATGAGGGCCCGGCTCTCGAGATAGAGGAGGTAGAGGTGAAGGTAATCGGGCAACGTCTCTGTCGAGGATGGGCGGAATCCCCTGTAGTAAAACGTGGTTTGGTGAAAACGACCTCGGGTTCAAACCTGGCGGGCGCAAGTCGGGAAAATGACGGCCGCGGCGCCCTCTCGAGAACCGAAAACAAACAATTCGCTAATCGACGTGTCAGGGAGAGGGTTCTGTCCACCCCCGACTCTGGCTCCAGAGTGTCTGGAGCGCTCTCACGGATGGCACGGCTGATGTGACGGGGCCCAACGGCTTGACCCGTCCGAAGCACGCTCGGATGCTCGACGACATGCTCTTGACACTCTCGATGTCGAGTCATGTGCGCTTCCAGGGGAAGAAACTTTTTGGATGACCTCCAGGGCATCTGGAAATCTCCGGAACCAAACAACAGGCTCCAAGAACCAGCACGAGAGCCCCAAACGTGTCAAGAATGGAAGGCAGGAGAAGAAGGGGGAGGTCGAGGAACAAACCAGCGCGTAAACATACACACTCGGAGGTCCGCGCAGAGTTACTGGGGTCGGGGCTGGGCCCGCCTTCCCTGGCGTGCGAAGCGCGCGAGGGGCGGCGAAGGAGGCGCCGAGAAGGCAGGTCCAGCGCCGACTTTTGAAATCCACGCGGGCCGTCGACAGTACCCGTCGGTCGGAAGGAATGGGTAGAAACATGAAGTAGGAAGGCGTTGAAGTTGACTGGGCTTCCGAGGAGGGAGACCAATGCAAACCGAAGACCCATCAACGATGGTGGAAGGAACCTTCCCTCAGCTCCCTCTTCACAGGCCCCTACAAAGGTTATTTCCGCTGGGGGCAACATGTTGAAAAGGAACCGCCCTTATAAATCATTGAAACTCCAGAAGTATTGTTTGACGGATGTGCACGGCGCCGACAAAGAGACCCACAATTTGAAACCGGCCAGCCCTCAATCCGTGAAACTCTAGCGAATTTGAATGCGCATGTGCGCAGCGAGCGCTCTAGCGAGAACCGTATTTTGAAAACCACCCGCCCTCAACCCGTGAAGCCCTTGCAAATGTTTAGAGGACTGTGCGCGGCGCTGAAGCGAGAACCACGCTTTGGAATCGACCCATCCCCATCTGTGAAACTTTTGCTGGTTGTTGATATTCAGGAGCGGAAGTGAAAAGGAAATCCCAGGCAACCCGCCCAGCCCGCCCTTCCGACTGGTCTCGAGGTGCGACAGGGAGGGGTTATTCATATGAAAAAAAAATGGAGGATGAGGAGAGAGAGCAAGCAAGCAAGCAAGGACTCTCGGATGCTGTCCACTGTCTGACGGCGGAGGAACTAAAAAGTAACATCTGAGTGGCGGTGAATCCGCGACTTCCCTCACCAGCGGGCGCTGCTGATGGGGACACCATCTGAGGCCCTCGACCCGCCCGAAGCTGGGGGATGCCAGCGAGGGGGGTGATGGGCACCACTCCATACAGACCCGAATTCCCTACGGCGGCCGAGGAGGCCTCGAACGACGGGAGCGTCGAGGCATCGGCACGAAAAAATCCGAAAGCTCACGAATTGGCCGCAGACCAGGGGGAGGACGAGGAGGAGGCTCAGGCCGAGGAGGGGGGTTCGATCGGAAAAAACCGCGAGCGACCAACTCGGCGAGACGCTGACTACACGCTAAGTTCGGGGGGAGGGGAGCTCTCGGCAAGGCACCGCTGGCAGACACGGGTCCCCCCTCACCCCCATTCGTAAAAGAGCTACTGGCCTCAGAACTCGGGAACACTACTGGGGCGGGGCCTCGTACAGGAACCTCTGGGGGCGGACCAGCGCGGACGGGTATATCCGCAGCACGCGCAGCACGAACTTCAGGTACTCCAGAAGCTGTGCCGGACAAAATCTCTGCAGACACCAATACTCCAGAAGACAACTCCTGTGAAACCAATACTCCAGAAGACTGAGAGCCAATCAAATTCTCATGCAATACTCCAATAGTCCTGTTCAGGCATCCTCCTGCTCCTTCTTCTCCTTCTCCTTCCTGCCCTCGCCGGGCTTCTCCAAGAGGCGGGATGCCTCGCGCTCGAGCGCGCCACGGGGAGCTGGGCCCAGCTTGCGTTCGCCTGCCACCGACGCCGACGAGAAATAGGCAACCAGGGTCCTCTCCAGAGGTTTGAACTCCCCGTCCACGGCGAAGGTCAGGCGCATCCGCTCGTCCTTCGATTCGACATTGCGGGTTTTTCGTACACGGCAATCGCGAACGTGTTCTCCGACCTTGTCGAGCGGCATGGGCACCAGCACGTCCTTCCAGTAGGTCTCGATGCTCTTGCGAACCTCGTCGCTGCAACTGGGATCCGTCCCAATCGCTTGGATGAGGGCGCTCCAGATCTGCACATACGGGGGGCCGAGCGTGGAGAGGTCTTCGCTGGCCTGCTTGCGACGCTGCACCTCGGCGTGATAGCTCAGTCCTGCGTCGCGCGCGGCCTTCATCAAGGGCTGGTCGGACTTGATGAGAAATGTGATGTATACGACTCCGCACACGTCGCGAAGCTCGGCGCTGTTGGCCAGGCTCAGCTTGACGAGGATCGCCACCAACTGGCGTAGAATGTCGCCGCCCTTGGCACGAGCCGCCGCGACGACCTTGGATTTTTTTTTGTCGGAGGAGGAGGAGGAAAGGAAGGGAGGAGGAGGAGGAAGGGAGGAAGAAGAGGAGGAGAAACTGGACGAGGAGGGAGGAGATGCCGACGGGGGAGGGGGCCTCTCCCTCTCCCCCTCCCCTGCCCATCCCCTCCCCCCTCCCCCTTCCGAGCAACGTCGTCCACGCAAGACAGGCAGGCAGATGGCTCGAGCGAATCCGCGTTGTGACACAACACGAGGCGACAACATACTCATGTGCGAAATGCACGTAGCTCAAAGAGAACACCTGGGTAACGGTCAAATGTGGCCCAGGCGGGCCACCACCTTTTCCTCTTCCTTCACCTCCTCCTCCTCCTTCTTCTTCTCCTCCTCCTTCTCCTTCTCCTCCTCCTCCTCCTCCTCCTCGTCCTCCTCCTCCTCCTCCTCCTCCTCCTCCTCCTCCTCCTCCTCTTACCCCTGAGGAACCCCACACTTTTCCGAGACCGCCACTCCCTGGACCTCTCCCGGGCTGCATTCTGACAACACCTCCGAGCAGAATCCGGCCGTGGTGACGGATGCCGCCACTCCCTGGACCTCTCCCAGGTTACATTGTTCGTCCGCGATCCATGGATGACCGAGCCGATGGGTGACAGGCTATCCCATGCCTGCAGAAGAGGGGAGGCAGCGTTCTTCGCCGCCTCTTCCTTTGCCTGAGTCCTCGGCGCCAGCGCGGCCATTCGGTCGCTCTGGGGGAGCGAATCCATCGCTGGCTGCCCAATCGCCGCCACAGGCGGAGTGAAGGGGCCCCGGAACACACAAATAAATACTCTCAAATCAAAATTTTCGTCACATCTTTCCATATGTGTTGCGTTTTCGTCTTCCCCTCCACTTCCCATATTTTCCCATGTTTTGCGGAGGAGTCGACGATTATTTGTGTCTGTGTTTTTCCCTCCTGGTGGAGGCGGTTGCGCAGCAGCGAACCACGTAGAAACAGACCCCCGACGCGAAGTGGCCGTGACCGTGGGCCTTGCACGGCAGTGAGGAGGGAGGGCAGCGCGCAGGGTCGGGCCGCTCCTGGCCCGACTTGTGGCAACGCCTCGAGGTGCACGCTCCGCACCCCGTGCAGCAAACAAAAACAACAACAGAGCCTGACGAGCGAACAACACACACCCATACCCATAGGGGGGTCGTTGGGAGGAGGGCTGGCTATGGGTATGGGTGCGGGTTGTCGGACCCTGGGGAACGCTCCCGTTCGAGCGGCGATCCCCATCCGACAACACGCACCCATAGCCCTCTCCGATCCCCCTGTGGGTATGGGTGTGTGTTGTTGGTTCGTCAGAGTCTCTGCGACAGCTCCTTCGAGCAATCGCTCGTGAGCCAGAGTGCCCCGAGCGACAAGCCTGGAGTCTTTCGCCGGGTCAGACTCGTGACTTTCCGGCCGAACATGTGCCTGGAAGACGGGCCGGGCCTGCATTCCGACGAGACCCGCGAGGAGAACCTGGCCGAGGAGACGACGGGCTCTCCAGGACGAGAAGCGGTATCAGTATGCGTTCCTCCCCTGGCCCGCTCATAGGGGAGCGAGCAATGACAGAAACAGAGAAACTCGGAGGTCCGCGCGGATGCCTCGGATCGGCGTTGGAACTCACTGGCGGGGCCTCTGGCGCCGCCCCTGGCGCGCTCCGCGCGCCAGGGAGGAGGGTCCAGCGCCTATCCGGGAAATCCGCGCGAACCTCAGTTTTGTGTGTGTGTGTTTGTGTGTGTGTGCGTGTGTTCCTCCACCCATCCCCCTCCAGGATGCATCGGTATGCTGTCCTGTCGTGGCCCCCTGCCAAGAGATCCGGTGCCCTCACTTGTGCACTACAGGGTCCCCAGCCAGAAGTCTCGACCCGCTCTCCCGCCCGGATCCCCATCCTGCATCGTCTCTTGATGGTACCAGGGCCCAGCGAAAGGGCTTCAGAGGCCGAAAACTGCGGGAACAAAAACCTCCGCCTCGATTTTTTCACTACGTTGGATCTCTGGGCCCCCTCTTCCTCCTCCTCCTCCTCCTCCTCCTCCTCCTCCTCCTCCTCCTCCTCCTCCTCCTCCTCCGCCTCCGCCTCCGCCTCCGCCCCCGCCCCCGCCCACGCCTCCTCCTCCGCCTCCGCCTCCGCCTCCGCCTCCGCGCTCCGCTCCGCCTCCGCCCCGCCTCTCCTCCCTCCTCCCTCCTCCTACTCTCCTCCTCCTCCCCTTCTCATCCTCTCTTTGCTCCTCCTCTCCCTCCTCATCCTCTCCGCCTCCTCCTCTCCTCCGTCTTCCTCCGTCTCCTCCTCCTCTCCTCCTCCTCCTCTTCCTCCTCCTCCTCCTCCTCCTCCTCCTCCTCCTCCACGTACTTCCTCCTCCCTCTCCTTCAACTCCTCCTCCTCCTACTCCTCCTCCTCCTCCTCCTCCTCCTCCTCCTCCCTCCTCCTCCTCCTCCTTCTTCTTCTCCTCCTCCTCTCCTCCTCCTCCTCCTCCTCCTCCCCTCCTCCTCCGCCTCCTCCTCCTCCTCCTCCTCCTCCTCCTCCTCCTCCTCCTCCTCCTCTCATTATTATTATGATGATTATTCTTACTATTACTTTTTGTATTATGCATGTTCTTATCATCATTATAATTCGTATTATTGTGTGTGTGGTTTGTTTATTCTTCCTCCTCCTTCTTCTCCTCCTCCTCCTCCTCCTCCTCCTCCTCTTTCTCTTTCTCTTTCTCTCCTCCCCCTCCCTACCTCCTCCTCCTCCCACTCCTCCTCCTCCTCCTCCTCCTCTCCTCCCTCCTCCTCCCTCCTCCTCCTCCTCGTCCTCTCGTCCTCCTCCTCGTCCTCCTCCTCCTGCGCCTCCGACTCCGCCCCCGCCTCCTCCTCCGCCTCCGCCTCCGCCTACCGCGTTTCGCCTCCGCCTCCGCCTCGCCTCCGCCTCCTCCTCCGCCTCCGCCGCCTCCTCCTCCTCCACCTCTTCTCTTCCTCCTCCTCCTCATCCTCCTCCTCCTTCTCTCCTCGCTCCTCCTCCTCCTCCTCCTCCTCCCTTCCCCTTCCTCACTCTCTCCTCCTTCTCCTCCTCCTCCTCCTCCGCCCTCTCCTCCTCCTCTTCCTCTCCTCCTCCTCCTCCTCCTCTTCCTCCTCCTCCGCCTCCCGTCTCCTCTTGCCTCTCCTCCAACTCGTCCTCCTTCTCCTCTTCCTCCTCCTTCCTATCCTATTCCTCCTCCCTCCTCCTCCTCCTCCTCCTCCTCCTCCTCCTCCGCCCCCTCCTCCTCTTCCTCCTCCTCCTCGTCCTCCTCCCTCCTTCCTCCTCCTCCTCCTCTTCCTCCTCCTCCTTCTCCTCTCGTTATTATATTTATCCTTATTATTTTTATTATTACTAGTATTCGTATTATGCTTCTTATTATTCTTACTATTCTTAGTATGCTTCTTCTTATTATTATTCTTATTTGTCCTCCTCCTCCTCATCCTCCCTCTCCTCCTCCTCCTCCTCCTCCTCCGCCGTCGCCTCCGCCTCCTCCTCCTCTTCTTTCTCCTCCTCGTCCCTCTCCTCCTCCTCCTTCTCCTCCTTCTCCTCCTTCCCTCCTCCTCCTCCTCCTCCTCCGCCTCCTCCTCCTCCTCCTCCTCCTCCTCCTCCTCCTCCATGTTCCCCTTCCGCGTCCTCCATGTGCATGCCTGGCGGTGCCATCGAGCTGCCCGACAACGCCGACGCCTGCGCCCGCGCGAGGTGGGCGGTGCCCGCGCCCTTGGCCATGCCGGCCTGCAGGGCGGGCGGGGGGGGGGCCTCCCGGCCGCTGTGCAGGTGCCCCTCTTCCGAGGCCTGGAGTTAAGACGGGTACGTTCCTCTACAGGAGGGAAATTCAAAAATAGTCAACAGCAAATAATATGGGGACGATGTTTCGACTGTGTTTGAATATGTTTCAGCATGTTTGGAGTGTGTTCCATTTTCCCTCCAAAATCCGCCTGTAGGAGGACAGGCCAGACCTAAGCCTGGAGAGTGGCGGCGTCCTTCCTTAGGGGGCTGCGCACTCGGGAAAGGGGCTTCTGCGGGGTCGCGGGTCTCGGCTCCCCTTCCTCGCTCGTTCCGCGTGCGGTTTGCTGGATTCGGCTCGCGCGCAGGCGCGCTTGGCCTCAGGCGCACAACAGTTCCGTCCCGACAACATCCCCTAGCCACGGAGGCAGCGAGTAAGCAGAAACCAACATCAACACAGCGTGGGGGCACAGCTGGTTCGCGTCGCGATGTCGCGGGCGGTGGTTTCTGACGCCGCGCGGATCGGCGGATTGTTCAGCCTTGAACTATCGCGGGTCCCCAGTAGCGGATATCGCTCGACATCGGCCGATTCTGGGCCACCGGCGGCGTTGAACCTTGAAAACCCGCGCTGGGGTCGACACCGCGTCAACGCGGCGCAAACCTACCGTATGTGTCGACCAGCGGTGACCCCGCCGATACAACACACACCCGCAGTACCCTCCACTGGGGGGAGACGATCCAGAATCCGTGCTGGTGGTAATCTCTCGGCCACACCACCAACACCGAGATCAGGATCATACTTCCTCGGTGGATTCAGCCGCCGATGCTGGTGATGGGTGCCACCCTCAAGGCCTCCGACGACCTCCCCCTCCACAGGAGTCGAGCAAGCAAGAGGTTCGTTCGAGGAGATGTCTCGACGTCTTTCGGCAGGTCCATCATCCACGGCAGGATCCGCCTCGGAATTCGGGCGTTCGTCAACGGGGGGGGCATGAACCTGCGGGCGAAGCAACGTGCGCGCCTTCCACGCACCCGTGGGCCCCGCGGCCGCAGTCAACCATTGGCCGCCTGGGGCCCCTCGGGGCCGCTTTCCAGCACTCCTCCGTGCCCCTTTCAACTTGCCCCCCAGTGCCCATCGCGCAAGGAGCTCTGGTCAGAACGCACTCCAGGTTGGATCCGGGGGCCTGGTTTTGAGGCCTAGATTCCAGACCCCTCCTCGCGTCGCGAAGAAATCACCACCGAATGTTCCATGTCAATTTCGAACTCTTGAGGCCGCTTACCGGTCCCCAGGACCGCAAAACAACTACTCAAGCTGGAATGCCAGTCCGCGGGACGTTGTCGAGACTTCCGAGGACCCAGTATTGAACACATCAAGGCATCGGGTGTCAGAATGTCTGGGTCCTCCTCCTCAACAAGCCTTCTGCGTCCCCGCACTCTGGCACCCCTTCCTTGCCCTCCGCTACCTCCTCCCTCCGACACCTCATGCGCACCCTATTTCAATTCACCCCATTCTCATTCCCTCTGCCTCCGGAGTCCCAGCGGAGCCTGAGCAGACCATCCCCTGGTACAGCAGGCCTGCCCTGGGGCTCCTCACAGGCACTCTTTTTACCGATGGCGGCTCGGCCTTCTGGGCCGACGTGCACGGGTTAGCTCCAGCTGGCGGGTGGATTGCCCAGACACACGAGTTCGGTGATATAGTGGCAGCTGCATGCGGGCCTCTGCCTCTCAGCTGTTGCCCCCAACAGACCGCACGAGATGCGGAAGACTATGCGATCTCGATGCTGCGCTTCTGTGCTCTTGCTCCGTGCGATGTGTTCGTCAACTGTGCAGGCACCGTTGGGGCGTCTCGGCGCTGGTGGAGGGACCTTACGCAGTTGCGCGAGGGCCCATCTGTTGAGTCCCTTCTGGGGGAAGTTCACCAGGGAGACTTTCAAGTTTTCAAGACTAAGGCCCACTGCACCCAGGCTCAGGTCAAAGCGGGTGAAACCACGGCGAGGGAGTGCAAGGGAGACGCCCACGCGGGCCGCCTGGCGAAGCAGGGAGCGGCCTCGCATAGAGTAGGTAGGACCAGTACGTACTCTGGCGCGGGTTCAAGAAACTAGCGGCCGAGACGGCCCGCCGGGCCACCACTGTGTACACCAACACCGAGGAGCTTAATCAGTATGGACCTGATGGAGACTTACTGGCGCTCGAGAGACCCCGAGGCCGAAGGTGTGGACTTCCAGCTCCCTGAGCCTGACCAGAGCAAGAGCACGTCAGCAAATTGGACCAAGCCTCCAGGTCCGTCGCACCAATTCGGTTACGGGGTCGGAGAAGGGTGGGATGAATATCTACGTGCTTCTTTTACGTGGCATGGCCACGCGTTGCTGCAGGCATATTTGTTCGGTCGTGCCCACCTGCTTCCTCGGCTACGTGTTGCTGTGTAAGTGCGGCAGGGTGTCCTCGGATGGCACGTTGACCCAGGCCTCGCGTCGTTGTGTGAGGCTGCTCAGGCAACCGCCAGAGACCAGCTCAGGCAGAAGGGAGGAAGAGGAGGAGGGGAAGGAGGAGGAGGGGGTGGAGGAGGGTGAGGAGGAGGAGGAGAGGAGGAGGAGGGGAGGAGGAGGAGGAGGAGAAGGAGAAGGAGGAGGAGGAGGAGGAAGAGAAGAAGGAAAAGGAGGAGGAGGAGGATGAGAAGAAGGAGGAGGAGGATGAGGAGGAGGAGGAAGAGGAGAAGAAGAGGCGCCGTCTCACAGGGCGCGCGTCAGAGGCCTCAAGCCCGTGAAGCCTCACGCTCTGCTGCCGCTGCTGCCGCTGAGGCGCGCCCCGCTCTCCCCCCCCCCCCCGCGGCCCTGCGGCCTGCCGAAGAGCACCCCGAGGACGGGTGCGGCGTGTGGAGGGGCCGACCCGGGAGGGCGAGCCGAGGTGCCGCGAGCGCGTTGGGCCGCGGGAGCGTGACCCGCCTGCGGTCCGGGAGCTCGGGCGCCAGGGCCTCGAGCGTTCTGCGGGCGAGGCTGCGTCTTGCGGGCGATCGCGCGTCCGAGCTCCAGTTTTGATGGCGGCTTGAGCTCGCCATTAGGGCTAACCCATACCATACCATACCATTCCATACCATTTCCATTCCATACCATTCCACACCACACCACACCACACCACACCACACCACACCACACCATACCATGCCATGCCATGCCATGCCATGCCATGCCATGCCATACCTTACCATACCCTCTGCCTCTGCCTCCTGCCTCATCCTGCCTCTTTTCTCCTTCTGCCTGTTCCACCTGCTCCTCGTCCTCCTCCTCCTCCTCCTCCTCGTGCTCCTCCTCCCGCCGCCCTCCCCCAGCCTGAGAGGGGGAGGGACATGGGCTCCTCCCACTACCCTTCCTTCCCCCCCCCCCTCGTCCTCCCCCCTCCTCTTTGCGCCTGCCTTCTACCCCACCCAACCTGCAAAGGACAAGCACAGTGTGAGGACACCTGAGGCTTCAAGAGCAATGTGATGAGACCTGCAAGTTCCTTCACCTGTTGCTTCCTCTATCCCCAAGCACGACATATTGGTTTCAGGAGTCTTGGCACACCCCCATGGCCATGTGCGCGGCACCCCTTTAGCGGCGTACACCCAACCTCCCTCCCTTCCCTCCCCCCTCACGTCGTCCTCCCTGCCCTTGCGTGGCGTCTGAAGCCCGTCAAATACCCTCCGAACCCCCGCATTTGAGTGGCATCTTTCTCCTCCTGGAGAGCCGATGCCTTGATCACGACGTGCTGCGGTCGGGGCCATCGCCCCCCCCCCCCCCTTTTTGGACGCTCGAAATGGGTACGGAAAAAATGGGTACAAGGCGCAACAGCAAATGTTGTCCCAAACCATCAGCGGCCGCTGTTGGGCAGGCGGCCCTCCTGTCTCGAATGGACACAGGCCGCGGCGGCGCGGACAGCGAGTCCTGTTCAGAATGAACAGGAACTACTGTTGGGCATTGTACCCACTCTTTCCGTACCAATTTCGGGCGTCCAAATGGAGAGCCGATGCCGTGAGCACGACGTGCTGCGGTCGGGGCCCTCGCCCCCCCCCCTTCCCCTTCTGTCGGCGGTGGGCAAACCTCCCTTTCTCCTTAGCGAAAACGGCCTGGGACCGAAACCGACGGACCTGGACCCGCAAAAATGACGGCCGCGACGCCCTCTCGCGAACCGAAAACGGCCAATTCCTGAATCGACGTGTCAGGGTAGGAGGTCTATCCACCCCCGAGTAGTATCGGGGCCGGCCTCGAGGTTTTCAAGGCGTCTCTGGCGGTCCTCGGCGGTCTTCCAGCCTCGGGAGGCAGGGGCAGGAGGAGGAGGTGGAGGAGGAGACGGGAGAGGAGGAAGTGCAGGAGGAGGAGGAGGAGGAGGAGGAGGAGGAGGAGGAGGAGGAGGAGGTTTGTCCACCCCCGATGCTGGGGCGGGCAGGGGCCGACGCCCCCTGCGGAGGCCCGGCCGGAGCCCCAGACCCCCTCGGCGGGCGCAGCCCCTGCCCTTCCTTGTGAGGAGGCGCGACAGGGGGGGGGGCCTGGCTCAGGGTTATGTTCTCCTCCTCCTCCTCCTCCTGCACTTCCTCCTCCTCCTCCCCCTCCTCCCCCTCCTCCCCCTCCCCCTTATTAGGCGGAAAACAAACCTACCTCGCTTTTGACCACCCTCGCTTCCAAGAGATACCAAACGATGCCAAATTGCAGCCTGTGACGGTCAGGCCGCTTGACGAGGAGGCGCGTGGTATGGCTTGGTTTTGCATGGAAGCGAAAGCGGGGTGGGTAATTCACGCTCAGGGTTATCTTGCTCCCATCGCACTCAAAGACCACATCCCAGAAACAATTTCGAGCACCCGGAGAAGTGCCGGAAGAATGTCGGAAGAGTGTCGAAACAGTGTCGGACACGCGAGAACCCTCGAGTTTCAGTACTATTCTTCCTGGTGCTCGAAATTCTTTCTGGTGGCCAAGGCTAAAGAGGGTTGGAACATCATAAGCTCAGGGGGGGGACATCGAACTCGAGTCGGCGATGCACCACCAGTGGATCGGCGTTGGGCCCCCGATGGCGACGAAGCCGCGCGTTGCCGGGCTATCAGGCCCCCATCGGCGATGGATGGGCGTTTGGGAGTCGATGCCCTCCCCGCTGAGCTTATGCCCTCTCGCGTTGACGCCGAATCCGCCTGTTCCACGACGCCCATCCCCGCCTCGGGCACGATCGCCATGGCCCGGGCGGCAGAAGACTGCCCTGCTGGCGCGCCCCTCTAGTCTGCCCTCTGTGGGAAAACACACACACACACACACACTGTGGGGAAAAAAACACACTGTGGGACGAAAAAACAGTGGGGGAAAAACACACACACACTATGGGAAAAACACACACACTGTGGGAACAAACACACACGCACACACACAACTGTGGGAAACACACACACAAACACACACACACATACACAGTGTGTGTGTGTGTGCTTTTTCCCACAGACTGTGTGTGTGTGTGTTTTGTTTGTTTTCCCGCCGTGTTTTTTTGTGTGTTTTGTGTTTTTGTTCCCACAGACTGTGTTTTTCCCCACACACCTCGCGTCCGCTCTTCCGCCTGCGACCCGTCAGTGCCCTGCCGCCGACGAGCACCGAGCACATACAGAACGGCGGGGCCTTCCATGCCACGGGCAGCCCTGGCGACGAACCAGATCCCCGCCGACCCGGGCCCGAGAGCGGGAGCCCTTTCCCGAGCCCGAAGAGGTCCCTTGACTTCCGCGCCTGCGCCGCTCTCGTCCTCGGCCTCCTCCTATCCTCAAAGGCACTAAGGAACCCGTCAAGGACGTACGCGCCCAACTATGTACATGAACATGGCCCCTCGATCCGCGAGACCGGCCGCGTGACACGAACATGCGCGCCATGCGTGCTCTCGAAAGCAGCGCGGATTCATGTACGTGTACGTCCTCTTTTCGCTCCTGAAGCACGGCGGATCTGGACGCCCGAAATCCGGGGTGCCGAGAGGCCCACCCAGGGTCGCGGTCCAGCTCTGGCCCGCGGGAGGCGGGCTGTCATGTCTCGATCCTCGTTCCTCGAGCGAGGGGAGGAGGAGCCGGAGGCGGAGGAGGAGGAGGAGGCGGAGGAGGAGGAGGAGGAGGAGGAGATGAGGCCAAGCCTACCCAGCCTTGGGATGAAACGAGCGAGGACCGCTGCCTCGTTGGCACTTCCTCGGCCCTCCGCGTCTGCACCGACGCCCGGACAGGGGGCCTCCGAAATGATGCCCGAATAGATGATGTCAGACGATCGACGCGCACCAGCGATGCATCGTCGACACATCGGCGATGCATCAACGACGTGGGCGTTTCAAAAAGGGGCTCTGGATCGCGCCGCATCGCCGATGCATCGTCGAAGCGGCTCAGTGCTCCGACACCATCCCCTCTGGCCCCTATTTGGGAGGCCTGGACAGACGATCTCCGCAGCGCGCCTGGATCTGATCGATGCTCTTGGAGACCATCGATGGCGGCCTCGCCAGCGCGCTGGCCACGTTGCCGATGACGCCAGGCACCATCGTGAGGGCGAGCTGGCGGCGAGGCAAACAGGCGGGCACAAACTTGCTCGCCCCCATGCCATCTCCTCTGCCTCTTCCCTCTCCTCCTCCTCCACCTCCTCCACCTCCTCCTCCTCCACCTCATCCTCCTCCTCCTGCTCCTCCTCCTCCCTCCTCCCTCCTCCCTCCTCCCTTCTCCCTCCGCCCTCTTCTCTCCTCCCTCTTATCTCCTCCCTCTTCTCTCCTCTTCTCTCCTCCCGACTCCCTCCTCCTCCCGCATTCCTCATCCCTCCTCTATCCTCCCCCTCCTCCCCGTCCCCATTTCCCTCCCCCTCGTCCTGCTCCAACTGACTCTTTCTCCCTCAACCCTCCGTCGCCAAACTTACACAGAGGGCGGAGCGGGGTGCCAGCCAGCACTCGAAGTACCCATTCGAGACCTCCCCTAGCTGTACTCCCCTCCCTGCCTGACCAGCGACCCTTCATTCCCCTCCTGCTCCGCCTCGCCTGCTCCGCCTCGCCCCTTCATTCCCCTCCTGTACTCCCCCCCCTCCTGCTCCACCTCGCCCCCGCCCCCCGTCAGGCTCGCGCACCGCTCCCTCTCCCCGCCCCTCTCCCGCTCCCCCCTCCCCCTCGTCCCCCTCCCGCTCCCCATCCCGCAGCCCCTCGCGCCCCGCTCCCTCTCCCCCCTCCCCCCCCCCCTCCCGCTCCGCCTCACGCCCGCCGCCCCCCCAGGCTCGCGCCTCGCTCCCTCCCCCCATCCGCTCCCGCCGCTCTCGCCACTCCCCTCCCTTCCTCGGCCCACTCCTCCCCTCCCGCCGCTCCCCCGTCTCGCCCCTCCCCCTCCTCCTCCCCCTCCTCTCTCCTTCCCCCTCTCTCATTGCCCCTCCCCTTCCGCCCGGCCCCGAACTACCTAACAACCCTTCCACTTCCCGGCACCGTGGCGACTGAGGGACAACGGAACGCGGACGTCCGCGCCTCCCTCCGCAGACATCCCGGGGACCATGTTTCGCTGTTGACCCGCTTTTGAATTGCCCAGAGGCTCGACAATGGGCCCTGCAGGCCCACGTCGAGGAAACACTTTCTGATTGAACATTTAGATGGCCAGAATTCTGGGGCAGTCGTCGCAGTATCTTCGCGAGCGTGAGACTTCCAACAAAACATGTACATTAGGTTTCGGGCGAATGCCCGCAGACCGTAGTGTACACGTAGTATATCATGTAATAGATTCCACAAGCATTGCTTGCACTGTTTGGGGTTCTAACTTCTGGATCAAGAAACTGGGTATATCTGTCGGTCTGGCGGTTATGTTGTCGCCGTCGCCGCGTCGTCGCCGCCTCTCGCAGCCGCCCGTAACCAGGCCTGTTTGTCGGTCTTGCGGCTATGCTGTTGCCCTCGCCGCGTCGTCGCCGCCGTCGCGGCTCATCACCGCCGATCTAGTGCGCCATACATATACAAACAAGCACCATATTGATTGCACAACGTAGATCGCAGCACATATATTGACCAACAGAGACCGCACAACAAACATTGCACAACATTAATCCACATCCACAAACAAATACCCCACATAGATCGCACCGCATAGATTGCACGGGCCTTCTCGGCGGCCTCTTGGACCGTCTTGAGTGCCTTTGTGGCCGTCTAGGAGCAGTCTTGGGCTGACTTCGAGAGCTCGTGGCCCGTCTGGAAGCCATCTCAATGCGCCCTTCAGCGACCTTCCAGACAACCTGGGGCGCTCTGGGCGCCTCTTGGGCCAGCTTGGGAGCCTCTGGGGGGGTCCGGGGCCCCTTCTGAACCCTCCTGGGGCCCTCAAGGCCCCCTGGCTCCCCATGCGAACCAAAGGTCGCAATTCTGGGCTCTCCCCTGGCCTACTCCGATATATATATATATATATATATATATATATATATATGTATGTATGTCTGTGTATATATATATGTGTATATACATGTATATATACATATATATATATATATGTATGTATGTATGTATGTATGTATGTATGTATGTATGTATGTATGTATGTACGTATATATAAGAGTCCAAGGCCCAGCCCCCCACTCAATACTAATGGGATCGGGTCCCCCAGCCACGGTGGGTGTGGTGTGGGACTACCGTAGAATTCGCGTCGCTGCCGTCGTCGTCGTCTCCATGTGGGTGTGGCGTCGTGCGGCAATGATTCAAGGAGCGGGATGCCGCCGCCGCTGACGCCGCCGCCGCCACCGCCGTCGTCGTCGTCGCCGCCGCCGCCGACGCGGCCGACGCGGCCGCCGCCGCCGCCGCTGTCGGTGTCGTGGACGTCGTGGTCGTCGTGGTCGTGGTCGTCGTGGTCGTCGTGGTCGTTGTGGTCGTTGTGGTCATGGTCGTCGTGATCTTGGTCGTGGTCGTGGTCGTGGTCGTGGTCATCGTCGTCGTCGTCATCGCCCCTCCCCCATCCCATCCGGGGGGGCCGAAGGCCCCGAACCCTGGGCATATACGCGCGGTTCCCATGGAGGGCGCTTGAGGCTGAGGGGCAGCAGAAAACTGGCGTCCTGGACCGGTGACTGCTGGTCCACCGGCACGCTCGACTTCGGAGGCGGCGGGGGCGGCACAACCGTCACGGGCGGCGCCTTCATGAGGTCCTCGGTGCCAGGGGGGGGAGCGTGGGGATAAGGGAGGGATCGAGCTGTCCTTCCTTGAGGACCATTACATGCCGATCTGGAAAAAAGAAAAGCACCAGAAAATTTGGTCTGGGTCTCTGGTCTAGATTTGTCCTGATGTTGGGTTCTGGATGCTTGTGTCGTAGGATTCGACCACCAGGGCCGCTGTCGGGCCCCAGTATCATCAAACATTCATCGGGGAGGCAAAGTTACGCCTGGGGAAGTGGTCGGAGCTTCTCCAGCCGCGCATTCAACATACTTACGGATGGATCGACATGGTTTCGGAAATCATGGGGACGAGGACGGACTTAATGTCTGGCAAAACCAGCACAACCAGAACAGCCCGAAGTCCCACGGTGCCCGAAGTCCCCGAACAAAACACCCACACCAATTTCAGGTCGGGGATCTACTGGGCCTGGTCAATACAAACCGGGGTCAGTCAAGCCTTGTGGGATCCGGGAAGATCCCTGCAAGTTCTTGCGCCCTAGCCTTAAGTCGGACATGTCCCCCTACATACTCTCCAGATTATGTTTTGACGATGTTTGAACCTTCATCATGTAGACTGTAGAAGGACACGCCCAAATCAACCCTAGCCTGGATCAGTGCACCCGTGGCCCTCAAGGATCCTGCAATATCCAGCGGCGTGGCCGACCCAAATTTGCATGACCCCCCCTCTCTTGAGTCTCGATTGGGGAGGGCATCACCTCGACCTCGGCCCAGGCCTCAACGTACTCGCACAGGCACAGCACCATTCGTCTTCGCCCCTCCTCCTCCTCCTCCTCCTCCTCCTCCTCCTCCTCCGCCGGTTCCTCCGCGTCATACGACCGTGCCACGGCCTCCCCGCTCGAAGGTAGACTCTACACACCGAACCTATCCGTGAGGCCGACCCCACTCCCCCCGCGTTGGTTTCCTGGGGGCGGGGGCGGGCCGAAAGCCTCGCCGCAAGCCCAGGAAAGGGCGTTTCCTACGCGCAGGGGGGAGGAGGAGGAGGAGGAGGAGGAGGAGGAGGAGGAGGAGGAGGAGGAGGAGGAGGAGGAGGAGGAGGAGGGAGGAGGAGGAGAAGGAGGAGGAGGATGGGGAGGAGGAGGAGGAGGAGGATAGGACGAGAAGAATAGATTGACACAGTGTGTGGTTGATGCGTTCTGGGGTTTCCGGGACTTCTAACAGCCTTCGCGCGGGGTACACTTTACGTCGAGTATTGTCAGCTCTGCCTGGCGGGACGGTGGCGCACCGCCCCGTCGCCCGCCGCCGCGAACTGCGCGCGGCGGCGGATTCCCAAAGACCTGGTAGGGCGAATCAAGCGCGACTCTGGCAAATTCTCCGACGGCTGATTTGAAAAATCTGGGAACGTTTATGAACATGTTCGGCCTAATCCGGAATCTATGTTGCAGATATCCAGATCTCTGAATTATTCAGATGTCCTGCGGGGCGGGCGCATTCCACCCCTCATAACTGTTTATTGAAAATGCCTGGACTCTTTTTGTGAATAATTCCAGAACCGCTGTTGCAAAACAACGGCCGCGCTTTTTTGAAACTTTCTACACTCTGGATATAATTTCCGAGCGGTCTGACGGGCGAAACCGAATGAATCACGCACCGCGCCGCGTGCGATTGGTCGCAGCGCACGGCGCGCCCTGCGCCCGCGAACAGCACTCGAAGAGGTTACCTCGAAAATCGTGCCACGGCAACTGCGACTCGCGGACCCCCCAAAAGCAAAAACATAATGCAGCTTGGAATCTCCGAGGGGGCTCCGATACGCGAAAACCCACCGCGCACATCACGCAAAGAACTTGCCCGACGGAATGCGCTCGACCATTCGTCCCTGGAGCCCGCGCGGAAGGACGGGGAAACCTGGAACTCTTGAAAACTACCAATGCCAATCTTCATGCTCCTCTGAGAGGAGGAGGAGGAGGAGGCGGAGGAGGAGGAGGAGGAGGAGGAGAAGGAGGAGGAGAACGAGAACGAGGAGGAGGGGGAGGCGCAGAGAAGAGGAGGGAGGGATGGGAAGGAGGCGCACGGAAGGGAGGGAACGGGCAGGCGGATCGTGGAAACTGGGAGAGGAGGCGCAGGGGGGAGGAAGGAGGGAGTAGGGGAGGAGGAAGAGGAAGGGGTGGGAATGGGGCGAACGACTTCGTGCCTCCCCCCTTTCACCGTGGCCTGCCTCGCCGGCTTGCCTCGCCGCCAGCTCGCCCTCACCATGGTGCCTGGCGTCGTCGGCAACGTGGCCAGCACCAGAAAATCCGACCCATTGCGCAGCTGCGCTCTGCAATTTGGCGCATGCGCGCCCGACGTTCCAAGACTACCCGACGACGAACGATGACGACGACGACGACGACGACGACGTGGACCCCCTCTACCCGAAGAGTCAGCAAACTGACCGTGCCCGAGCGCCCCCATCAGGAGGACCCAGCCCACTGAGGCCTCCAGAAGCCCCGATAACCTCCAAGAAGTCCCAAGAACCTGTAGGATGCCCCAGAAGTCCCGGACACCTCCACGCAGATTTGATCAGGAAGCCTCGTGACGCTGGCTTCGCGAGGCTCTGGGAGGCCCGTCGGGACTTGGCAGGGCTCTCTCGAAGGCTCGCTGGGGGCTCTTGGACTGCGGAGCTTCTAAAAGGGTCCGCAGGGAGCCCAAAAGGGCGGGGAGAGGAGCCGCACGGGAGAGGGGGGGGGAGGTGAAGGGGCGAGGTGGTAGAACAACGGGCAACTAAACCAACACGGACTTTCGGAATTCGGCGCGGACTTCTTCGGTCGGCGATGGCGCGCGGACCCAAGAGATCCGCGCTGACCTCCGGCATGTCGTGCGAATCATGTGCTGACGTGAAGCACACGGATCCTGAGCGCAACGGGCCCTGGACAGCTGGCTCTCTTCATCCAGGGCTGATGCTTGACAACCCTCGGACCCGCGGGAGGCCCCCGGAGCCCGCAAAACGGGGAAAAAGACGTCAGAACCAAGGCTGAACCTAAACGGTGTGTTTCGTTTTCGTTTTGTGTTCGTTTTCCCTCGTTTTGTCTTCCATCCGCCTTTACCGCAAAACTTTACCGCCAAACGACATCGAAACGAAAACGGCCCACGAAATCGCAAAAACACCGTTTAGGTCCAGCCCTGCTCAGAACCCGTGCCCCTCAGGACCCGCCTGCTTCACGGACAACGCGGACTGTTCTTCCGCCGCGCAGAAGAGGAATCCCCGGGCCTGGTCGGCCTTCCTCAGCTTCTCCGCCAGCTTCAGCTTCAGGGCCGGCAGCCTCTTCTCCCTCTCCTCCTCCTCCATGTTCTTCAGCGTCGCCTGGCGGCGACTAGGGAAGAAGGGAGAGGGAGGGAGGAAGGGAGGACCGCCCTCTTCGCCTTCCTAATTCTCCTCCTCCTCCTTCTCCGTCGCCTGGCGGCGACGAGGGAAGGAGTCGAGGGAAGGAGGGAGGGAAAACCCTCTGGGTCCTCGTCCTCCTCCGCGTTTTCCTCGTCCTCCACCACCGCTCCTCTCTCGTTTCCTCCGTCCCCCCATCTCACTCCCCCCAAAGGATGGACCTAAGCAATGTGTCTCGCTTTCCCCTTATGGCTTCGGTTTTCCTCGTTGTATCTTCCATCCGCCTTTGCTGCACAGCGACCTCGAAACGAAAACGCCTCACGAACTCGCCAAAACACCGTTTATGTCGACCCCTGCTCCTCCCCCTCATCCTCCTCCTCCTCCTCCTCCTCCTCCTCCTCCTCCTCCACCTCCGTGCTAACTCCGAGTCGCGCTGCGGGCGCGGCGTGCTCTCGGCGGGGGGGCATCTGCAGCTCCCTCCCCCTCCCTTCCCTTCCTCGTCAGCTCCCCTGTCCCTTCGCGACTTGGCCACCTCCATTTCCCCCCCACCCCCTCTGATGGGCATGTTTCCCACCACCACCACCATAAGTTGGAGGGGGGAAGGTGGAGGATGAGGAGGAGTAAAAAGAGGGTGAGGGGGACCCCCTCCCCCCTAAAACTTATCGTGGTGGCGGTGGAAAACAAGCCCATCACCCTCAGCTCCCTCTCCCTCCTCACCAGCTGCCCCCCCCCCTCTTCTTCCTCCTCCTCGGCCGGGGCCGACTGCAGGAGGACGCCCGAGAGGTCACAAGCCTCCTCCGAGGCAAGCACATGCCTCGTCTGACAGACATGAAGAGGACATGAAAAGCGACGGACGAGCCACACAGGGGCACTCTTGACGTGCAGGGCCGGTCTACGAATCATACCCGACTGCAGGAAGGATGGGCGGGGCGACTCTCTGCAGGCCCCACGCGTCGCACGGCGAGCGACTGGCGGAGGATGGCGCCACCAGGCCGCTGCGACGCGTGGAACAGGGGTGCCTAACTTCGCGCTGCGCCAAGCGCGAATCACATCGCGCTCTCGCGCCGCCCCCCAGGGAAGAAGAGGAGGACGAGGAGGAATCGGAGCCGAACCGTTAGGGCGGGCATGTTCCCCCACAGGCGGATTTTGGACAAAAACCAAAAAATCCAGAAGCACCCGCAGTAGCCAAAAAATAATGAAAACATCGTCCCCAGACTATTTTTGACTATGTTTGAATCTTCCCCCTGTAACTGGACAAACTATTTTGTGACTGTTCTTGAACCTTCCTCCTGTAGAGGGACGGGCCCGACTTAACCCCAGGGGGCTCTGGATGACGACGGGGGTGCGGGCAGATGCGGCGATCGTGCTACCGGAGGGCGCTCCTGGCCACAGTGCGCCTCGGCAACGAATGGCCCCCCGACCTAGGACTCGAGGAACGGCTCGAAAACCAGAGCTGATGGGCAACGATACAGTCGGGGCGCTGAAGAAGGAACCCTTTTCGCTGGGGAGGGGCTCGGTGTTCCTTAAGTGTTTCACAGCTTGCCTCAGGTTTTCGTTATGATTTCGATCGGAGACCGAAGTTTAACTTATGGAAAAAAAGGGCCTCGTTCCTTATTTAGGATTCCTTAGGTCAACGCCCCGACGATAGGGGGGGGACTGGCATATGGGGGGCACGCATCGACCTGGAATCGGCAGTGCATCGTCGACAGATCGGCGGTAGCCCTCCGATAGGGCATCCGCCCCTTCCTGGGCGGGGTGGGGCTGTCAGGCCCCTTGTCGGCGACCCACGGGCGATTGGGGGTCGACGCATCCCCCCCTGTGCCTGCCCCCCCTCCCCCTATCGCTGCCCCTGAAGAGCACCCCCCGAGCCCAGACTGGTCCTGACGTCAGCGCCCTGGCTGCAGATCGCAAGTGGGCTCCGAGTGCCCCCTGCCCCCCTCTGCCCCCCTCTGCCCCCCCCTGCCCGCCGCGGCGCGGCCGCCTCGGCCATCGCGAGCGCCTGCTCCTGCGCCGGCGCTGCGTGCCGGCAGCGCGGCAAGATCGAGCATAGGCGCGCTCCAGCACAAGTCCCGCATACGCCTTCTCCCGCTTCCTCCCCCGCTGCTCCTGCTTCTCCATGCTTCCGCCTTCTCCACGACCTCTCGCGACTCCCCTCCCTCTTCCTCCAGTTGCCTCATCCGTATTGCTCCGTTTCCCTGCTCTCTTCGCCCTCCCCTCCCGTCATGTCTACCAGATCACCCCTTCACCATCATTGTGATCACCATCATCATCAGCATAATCAGCAGCATCAACATCAGCATCAACATCACCGTAAGCAACATCATCATCGTCGTCATCCCCATCATCATAATCATCAGCATCACTATCTCCGGCAAAATCAGTGTCATCACCATCACCAGCACCATCATCATCAACATCATGACCATCAATCGCAGCATCATCCTCATCTCAGCATCAGCATCATCATCGTACGTAGTAGTACCACCATCATCATCATCATCAACATCATCAGCATCATCATCCTCAGCAGCATCAGCATAATCATCAGCCTCCTCCTCCTCCTCTTCCTCCGCCTCATCATCATCATCATCATCATCATCAGCATCATCATCAACATCATCATCATGATCATCGCGATCACCATCACCATCACCAGCTGGATCATCATCACCATCATCACCATCATCACCGTTACAAGCCTCATCACCTACACCATTATCATCACCGCTACAAACATCATAACCATCACGATAACCATCACCAGCAACATCACTATCATCACCATCACCATGAGCATCATCAGCATCATCAGCATCAACATCACCAGCAGCATCATGATTAGCATCATAATCATCATCATCACCCCCATCACCATCACCATCACCATCATTATTATTACCACCATCATTATTATCATCCTCATCACCAACACCATTACCAGCACCGACACCAGCACCAGCACCGACACTATCACCATCACCATCACCATCACCATCATCACCATCATCATCATCATCATCATCATCAGCATCACCATCATCATCATCATCACCGTCATCATCACCATCACCATCACCATCGTCATCATCATCGTCATCGTCATCATCATCGTCCCTCCTCCTGCACCATCCTCATCCTCCTCCGCCCAGCGCCCTCCTCGGAAGCTCTGGGACAACGAGGCTGATACTCCTGACGCCCCTCCCCCCGCCCCCCCAAAAAGCAGAAGTAAGAGTTACACGACGCCCACCCTCCCCGACCTAGGAGGCCACGAGCAGCCGCCACGACCACACCAGACCTCCGACGGCGCAGCAGTGCGCACCTCGGGAAAGGGCAGGAGGCGCACACACGAGCGGGGGCTGGGCTCGACGGGGGCGGCCTTCTTGGAAAGGGGTGGGGGGCGTCTGAGAAGGCAGGGGTCGGGCGAGTGGTAATGGGTAGGGAGACCACAGCAAACGTACGCGCCCGACCACGTACATGAACAAGGCCCCCCAATCCGCGAGACCGGCCGTGTGATACGAACGTTCGTGCATTGCGTAATCACGAAAACAGCGTGGATTCATGTACGTGTACTTCCCTCGTTCGCTCCTGCCTTGATAGACCAGCGCGTTTCACTACTCGCAGAAGTCACTGCTCGCAAATGGCCTGGATCCGCCGCGGGGTACCTACCGTCCACTACACATCGAGGCAGAGCGCTTTCTCGAACGCCTGCGAGTGGGCACTCTGCGAGTGGTGGAGCGCGCTCGGTGACTTGAAGTCCCCCCACCCGTTGCCGCCCGCCCGAAAGGGGGGTCGGGAGTCTTCTGACCCGGGTCAATCCAGACCCAGGTCAGCAGGAAACCAAAAAACTGCAATGCAGGAAAAAAAACTGCATCGCAGGTCTTCGCAAACCCGGGTCAACCAACAGGCGCGACCGCCTCGCGGCCACGAGCGGCTCGCCAACCCGGGTCAGCCAGAGGGGGTCTCCGCAGGATCCTGCAGGATCCTGCGCCCTGGCTGACCCCCGTTTGCACTGACCCCGTCTCAAGGCTCCCGAGGGGGCTCCGCAGAGGCCCTGCCGGCCTCCGGGCCCTTCGGGCAGGGCCCCCGCCTTCGGCCGCCCCCTCGCCTGCTCGGGCGCCCGCCCTCTTCGCGCCACCCCCCGCGCGGGTGCGCGCCGCCCGGAGGGGGGAGGCCAACGAAGGGCGGAGGAGACAGCCCGTTCTGCTGCCAGAGCCAGCCTGGCAGCCATTGCCTCGGCCAGTCGTCGTAGATGGACAGGCGCGTCCCACCACTCGCTCAAGTAGCTGCTCGAAGTGCTAAGATCCGCCGCGGAAAAGTTACGATACATATATATATATATATATATATATATATGTGTATATAAATATATATTGTACATATGCATATACATATACATATACATCGAGACAAATACGTGAATTGTGGAAGTTTGCGAGTAGGCATTTTGCGAGTAGTCAAACGAGCTCGGTGAGGAGAGCAAGAGGCCAGCTGTGAAGAGGGGGAACTGCATCCATCTCTGGTGCAGGGGACGCTTCGCGCTCCCGCTGGGGCGCTCCGCAGCCAAACGTCTGCGACGGCATGCGCGCACCGGGATGGCGGCAGCGAGCTTCCCGAAAGCAAAAGCGGGCGGGCACACCGAGGAGGTGCCCCTCATCATCATCATCCTCCTCCTCGTCCTCGTCCTCGTCCTCGTCCTCGTCCTCGTCCTCGTCCTCCTCCTCCTCCTCCTCCTCCTCCTCCTCCTCCTCCTCCTTCTCCTCCTCCTCCTCCTCCTCCTCCACAATTGCTCAATATGAATACTACTCTCCCTCTTCCCCCGAAGGCGGCCTGAAAGTAGCCGACCCCCCCCCCGCGTACTGTTTTTTTACACACAGGATTCCCGGGAGTTGGGTTTTCGCCTGCGTTTTTTTCAAAATGCTGCTCTCGCTGAGGCGCCGGCCTCATTTCTGCTCCCGAATCGTTCCGAATCGTGCTCCCGCTGCAGCGTGGGCCTCATTTTCGGATCGGTGTTTTGCCTCCGTCGTTCAGGATGGCGTTCTCGCCCCAGCGCGGGCCTCTTTCTCGCGCGCCCATCCGCCCGCCACCACCGCGCCGCACCACGCCCCGCCCCGCCGCACGCACACCCACCGCCACTTCCACCCACCAACGCACGCACGCACGCACGCGCACCACCACCGCGCACCGCCACCACCACCGCACTACCCCACCCACCACCACCACGCTACACCGCGTCACACCACATCACACGCGCGCACACACAGACACACACGCACGCACGCACACACACACACATACACACGCACACACACACACGCACACACACACACACACCAACACCGCCACCACCACCACCGCCATCACGCACGTACGCACCTGGCCCACCACCAAACCACCAAGACGCCACACCACGTCACACCACAGCACACGCGCACACACGCACACACACACAGACACATACACACCACCACCACAACAACCACAACCACGCACACACGCACGCACGCACGCGCACCACCACCCACTACGCACACGCGCGCGGAGCCACAGGTCCGCTACGACACGCGTCCGCGGATAGAGAAAATCAGCGCCATGGTAAGGGATGGGAGGGAGGGGTAGGATGTCAGATGTTGACGCGAGCGCACCTAACTTGTCCTCCTCCTCCTCCTCCTCCTCCTCCCCCCCCTCCTCCTCCTCCTCCTCCTCCTCCTCATCATCATCATCATCATCACCATCGTCATCGTCATAATCATTTTCTTCCTCCTCGTCCTTCTCCTCCTTCTCTTCCTCCTCCTTCTCCTCGTCCTCCTCGACCTTCAGCCCCCTGTGAGACGCCCCTCCCACAGGGCGCCTGCACATTCAAAGGGCGCCTGCACTGGCGCAGGAGCGATGCGCTGCCGCGGCATTGGCTGGAGCCCTGCTGCACACCTTAACCACCTTGCATGCTGGCCCAGCAGAGATCCAAGACACCAGCGCGGATCTCTGCGACTTCATGTATATGCTGCTCTTCTTCCTCGAAGCGACGATCGCAACCTGAGTTCCTCAAATCTCGACGTCGCGACAAAGTCGTAGCATCAAGACAAGTCACTACCCATGCAGCAGGCTCCATCTTCCTGCGACACTGTTCGAGTTGGGCGATCTGTGGTGGTCCGGGGGGCCCGAAGCCGAAACCGAAAAACGCCCAGTATGGAACAATTGCAACGCCCAGATCTCAGGGCAGGGCCTCCCCCGCTGGCAAGGGCCCCCGAACAGAGGCCTCCCGGATGGGGTCGGAGCATCTGGAATCGGAGTACCGCGCCGCATCGCCAATGCATCGGCGACGTCGGCGGTGCATCGGCGACGCCGGCGTGGAGAAGATCGCGCTCCACATCGAGCTCATCGCCGATGCATCGCCGACGCGTAACGATGCTCCGACCTCATCTACTGGAGGCCTAGAAGGCTTCTGCTAGGGGTCCACGTGATGAAAAGCATCACAACGAGTACCCAAGAGGCATGAGAGAGCCCCCGAAGAACTCCTCGATCTCGGCTCCTGGGAATATCCAGAAGGTACCAATACCGCCACTCCCTGGACCTCTCCTGGGGTGCGTTCTGCAGAACGTCGAGGCGAATCCAGCGGTGGCGACGAGGGCCTCCCAGGAGGCCCCAAACAACGAAAACGAGGGAAGGGTACAAGTATGGGTATCTCTTTCTCCTTTGACCCCCGCTGGCAGAGCCCCCGAACAGTTCCTCGATCTCCTCGTCTTCGGCTTGTGGTTGATCGCCTTCGACTACCTCGACGACTACTTGAACGACGACGACTTTCGTCGCCGACGCCGAAGTCGACGACAACCTCGACTGCCTCGACGACGACATCGACGACGACGACCACGACGAAGAGCTCCTCGATCTCCGCCTCCGTCTTCGGCTTGTGGTTGATCGGCCGCGGCGCCGAGCCGCCGATGGCGGGGGCGCCGGGCAGCGGCAGCGGCTTCGGCGGGGGCGCGCCCTCCGCCTGGCGCCGTGGTCGTCGTGGTCGTCGTCGTCGAAGTAGTCGAGGTCGTTATCGTCGTCGTCGTCGTCGAATTAGTCGTTGTCGTCGTCGTCATTGTCGTCGTCGTCGTGGTCGTCGTCGTCGTCGTGACCGTCGTCGTCGTCGTCGCTGTCGTCGAGGGCGTGGTCGTCGTCACCGTCGTCTCCGTCGTCGTCGCCGCCGCCGCCGCCGCCGCCGCTGTCGTCGTCGTCGTCGTCGTCGTCGTCGTCGTCGTCGTCGCCGCCGTCGTCGTCGTCGCCGTCGTCGCCGTCGTCGTCTTCGTCGTCGTCGTCGTCGTCAGCGGCGGCTTCGGCGGAGGGCCGACGCACGGAACACGACGCAGACGCACGACGCTGGACAACGAGGGCGGTGGTGCTCCATGGGGCCCGCCCCGTCGTGTCCGCCGTGAAGACCGTCACGCTGGACAACTCTTCGCTGTGCACCTTCGGCCTCGGGAGCCCCTGCGGGGCCTCGGGGCCGTCAAGACACGGCTCGGAACGACGCCGAGGGGTCCAGGCCTGGCGGACTCCCCAAAGGGGTCGGAGTATCGCGCCGCATCGCCCATGCATCGGCGACGTCACGTCGGCGGTGCATCGGCGACGCCGGCGTGGAGAAGATCGGGCTCCACGTCGAGCCGTATCGGCGATGCGTAGCGATGCTCTGACCCCATCTACTACGATCCCATCTGGGAGGCCTAGAAGGCCCCGTAATAAACAGCATCACGACGTCGGGTTTCTTGGTCCACAGCGAGCACCCAAGAGACCCAAGTAGGCCCACGAGAGCTCAACGAGCACTCCTCCCAAGATGGCCCCAAGAGCGCCCGAAGAGCTCCTCGATCTCGGCCCCATCTGGGAGGCCTAGTGGGGCTCTCGGGGTCCACGTCATGAGCAGAATCACGATGTCGGGGCTCTGGGGCCGCAGCGAGCAAACAAGAGAGCCCCCAGAGCACCCCCGAGACTTGCCCCAAGAGAGGCCACAGCGTCGTCGTCGTCGTCGTCGTCCCCCCGCAGGGTCCGCCGCTCTGGTCGTCAGGCCTTCGCAGTGACGGCGTCGGGGATCTCTGGGTCTGCAAAGAAGACATGTATTAACTCGCGGCCACAACGGGCGTTATGGGAGGTGAAGGGGGGTGGACGGGAGGGGGCCTGACGTAGCGCCCTCCGCCCCCCCCCCCAAACCTGTGGTGCCGGACGCACTGCGGCAGTGCCGGAGATGCACTGAGGGGAGGAGCGTTCCGTTCTGGGGGGGGGGGGGTGGGGAGGGTCGTCGGGGAACGTAAAATGACCTAAACATAAAAACTCGTGGGCCCGCGCGGATTTCTCGGTCCGCGCTGGGTCCCCCTCCCTGGCGCGCGGAGCGCGCCAGGGGCGGCGCCTCGAGAGGGGCCCCAGCGCCGATCCGAGAACTCCGCGCGGGCCTCGGAGCTTCTATGTTTGTGCCTTCCCCGTTCCCCTAGGTAGGGGGCAGAACGCGCGTCATGTGTATATATATATGTATATATATATATATATATGTATATGTATATTTGTATGTGCATATATATATGTGTATATATGCACATATAGATATATATATATATATATGTCTATACATATATATATATATATATATATATATATATATATATATGTTTGCATATGTATATGTATGTATATATATATATATAACACAAAAAGATCTCAAAGGCGCCCGATGGCCCGCCGCTCCACCCCGCGAGCGGGGCCAGCCTGCCCCTGCCGCTCCGTGGGGGCAGCGTGGGGCGTGCCCCCCTCCGACGCCGAGCGCGCCGGCGCGCCCGGCCCGTCGGCCGGGGCCTCGGGCGGCGGCTGGGCTTAAGTCGGGCGGGTCCCCCTACAGGGGGATTTCCGACGAAAAATATAAAAATACCCCCGAAATAAACAAAACATTATCCAAAAGTAGTCTGGGGACTATTCTTTGAGTATCTTTTGTTCTTTTTTGCGGGTATTTTTGGAGTATGTTCTATTCTTCGTCGAAAATCCCCATGTAGAGGCCCGTCCACAAGAAGCCTTCCACAGGAGGCTCAGCCCTGAGACCCCGGGACGCCCATCGATTCTTGTTGGTGTGGGAACGTCACGCCATCCACGGCAGAACCATCGAAACTTAGGTCAGACCTGTCCCCCTACAGGGGGATTTTATGCGAAACGTGAGAAATAGTAAAAACAAATAATTCACAATTGTTCAAAAATAATAAACAAAAATTATACTATTTTTATTATGATGTTATATTCCCTCCTGTAGGAGGGACAGGCCCGACTTAATCCGAAACCCAAGAAGCCCAGGGCACCCTGGAGGCAAGCAGGGTGATTCTTGGCATGGGTCTCCACTCTACTGCCGCGGGGGGCGTCAGTGCCTACGGTCGGGTCGAGGTGCCACCAGAAGAAACACCGAATAAGAAACGAAGCCCCTCTCGTCATCGTCGTCGTCGCCGTCGTCGTTGTCGCCGTGATCGTCGTCGTCGTCGTCGTGATCGTTGCCGTCGCCGTCGCCGTCGTCGTCGTCGTCGCCGTCGTCGCCGTCGCGGTCGCCGTCGTCGTCTTCGTCGTCGTCGGCTTTCTGGGTCGGCAGCACCGGCCGTAAGGGCTCTCCAGTAAGCAACGAAGCCCCTTTGCGGTCCCAGCGACAACTGGAAGCACGAGGAGGGCTACAGAAACAACCACGGAGTGTCCCAAGGAACAGCGAGCCCCCTCTGAGCACAGCAGCACAGCGCGGTCCTGAATTTTCCCGATCCTCTCTTGGCTGGGTTCTCGTGATGAATAGAGCGGTGGGGTGCCAACTCTCTTCTCCTCCTCCTCCTCCTCCTCCTCCTCCTCCTCCTCCTCCTCCTCCTCCTCCTCGTCCTCCTCCTCGCACCTCCCCCGCTCTCCTCTCGGCTCTCTCCTCTCGCATCCCTGTTGGGAGCCGCGAGCCGCGAAGTGTGAAGCTGTCGCCACTTTCGAGGGCTGCCGGGGGAGCCCGCACGGGGGGGCCCCACGCAGACCCGCAGGAGACCTCGCAATCCCTGGGAGGCTGCGAAGTGCGAAACTGTCGACGCTTCCGAGGGCTGCCTGGGGGAGCCCGAACAGTGGGGTTCCACGCAGGTCCCAAAAAGACCTCGCCATCCCTAGGGGGGCTGTGAAGTATGAAACTGTCGCCACTTTCGAAGGCTGCTTGGGGGGCCAGCACAATGGGGTCCCACTCAAATCCAACAAAAAACCTCGCCATCCAGAGGGGGGGGAAGTGTGAAACTGTCGCCACGTTCGAGGGCTGCTGGGGGGGGGGCAGGGTGCGAAACTGTCGCCACTTTCGCGTCGGCCACGCACACTTCGCACGACATGGAGGTCCGCCGTGCACCGTCTCTGGCAATGTTGTTGTCATTCGATTGTCGGCACACCTAATATAATCCCCTGGTGCCGATGGGTTGGGTACGTCGCAGGGTCATTTAGCGTCTCGGCTGTTGCGAGCCTAGTGGGCCCAGCAAGCAGGAGGGACACTGATACGGATGCAGGCCCCCTTGCGCGGGGCGGTCCCGGGGGGGGGGAGTAGCTGCAACAGCAACAGCGTGCTGCAAACTCGTGCGAGCACCCGATCGCGCGTCTGATCTTCCATACGACCTAGGCCCTCTCCCCTGGCCAGCCACTGCCTTTGCCTGCTCTGCTCGCAGCTTGGACGCGATCTCCGCTGCGTTGAGCACAGACGACGAGCTGGACCCTGCGGCCTGACTCGAAGCGGCATGCGGGGGGGCACGATGCTCATCGGGGGGCGTGCAGGGGGACGGAGGGGGCAGCGGGTTGTAGTGTGGGAGGAGGCCCAAGTGGGCATTCATGGGTGAGCGAGGGGGCAGCGCATAGATATGAGATGTGAGTGGAAGAGGAACAGAAAGAGTGTAGAGTTCAGGCGGCGTGGAGGTCGGGTTTGGGCGGCAGGAAGAGATGCGCCCACAGGCGGGAAGAGGGAGGCAATATGTTCCGACGAGAACTCGCATTGGCAAAACTTGCTCGAGGTGCGCTGCGCGGCAGTGGCCTCGATGCACTGCTCGACGCTACTTCCAATGTTATAATTTTCGACTGCCTCCGCACCAGTTGTGTATCTGGGCATGGGATGGGCAGCGGATCTCCTCTTTCTTCAGGGAGCAATTGGAAAGGTGGATGATCATGATGGAGCGGGAAGGATGAAGAGACGAGTAGGAGGGGGTGGGAAAGGAAGGGGAGAAGAGAGAATAGGAGGGGGACGTTTAGGACAACGGGCGAACAGGATGAGGTGAAGAACGAGTAAGCGGGAGGGGCAGGCGGACGGGGACGAGGAATACAACAGAATGGCCGAGGCAGATGAGGAGCAGGTGGAGGAGGAGGCGTTGAGGAAGGATGAAGAGGATGTCAAGGAGAAAAAACAGGATGAACACTGGGGGAGGAGGGGCGCGGAGGAAACGTGAGGTTGCAGGAGAGGAGGCCGACATTGAGAACGAGGACCAGGCCGAGCGCGAGGACGGCGCGCGGGACGCGGATGAGCAGGAGTGGCACCAGGAGCGAGCATGAGGAAGAGCATTCCGGAGGCGGGAGGAGGATGCTCCTCCCGGCGGGCAGGAGGAGGAAGACGTAAGACTCGGGCACAGGGGACTGGGGTTGGCCTGACGGGGGCCATCATAAAAATGACGAGACCCAATCTGAAATTTGACGCGAGCTCCCGCTGCAGACATCCCACGAAAACCGGACCGGCAAAATCCAGAACGCGTTCGACCAAAAAACGTCGGCAAACCCGAGTTCCGGCTTACTCGACTCTTGCGTTTCCCCGAAGGGTGCTCTCTCCCTGCGGGCGAGGCGGGCGGGCAGGGGGAGGTATGGGGCCACGAAACGTGTGAGGGGTGCGCCGAAATGGGCGCGGTGCTGCCATGCGAGCGCAGCCACTGGGGCTTTCGGTGGAGCTCCCTGTGAGGCCACGAAACGCGTGAGGGGTGTGCAGAAGTGGGGAGGATGGGAGGAGGGAGGGGGCAGCGGGAGAAAGGAGTGAGACGCGCAGCACTGTCCCTTCAAAACGAGGACCCGACACCACAGGATGATTGGGAACTGCTACGAAAAACAAAGGATGCGCCTAACAAAATCGTCCCCATATTATGTGCTGACTAGGTTCAAATATTCCTCCCGTAGAGGGACACGCCCGACTTAACACTACCCTTATGTCGGGCGTGTCCCCCTACAGAAGGATTTTCAACGAAAAATAAAAGATACCCCCAAACTACCCCCAAAAAGGTTGAAACAAACATTCAAAAAATATTCCCCAGACTATGTTTGGACTATTTTTCGATCATGTTTTTTTTATTTTTCGTCGAAAATCCTCCTGTAGGGGGACAGGCCCGACTTAACACCACCCCCCTCTGCGCGTGGCCGAACGGGGGGGGGGGAGGAGGAGGCGCGGGTGCACGCGCAGATCTGCAGCGCGCCAGCACGTGCAGATCTGCCGTCGCCCGCCGCCCTCTCGGGAGGGCAAAGAGGGGGGCGCCCAAGAGGGGGGGGGGGTAGCGCCCAAAAGGGGGGGGGGGGGGGAAGAGGCGCCATGACATCGGGGGAGATATCGAGGCCCCCGCCATGATCTCCACCCTTCCCTCGACCCTCGGCACCTCGACGCTCGACCCTCCTTCCCTCGACCCCCCCTCCCTCGACCCCCCCTCCTTCCCTCCTTCCCTCCACCCTTCCCTCGACCTCGACATGGTCCTCACCCCCCTCCCCTCGACCCTCGGCACCCGCCGCGCCGGGGGCCGCGAGGCGGGGGAGGGCTCTTCGGGGCTCGCGCGGCCAGGGCCTCGCCAAGGTCGTTCGACCAACCGCCTCGCGGCCGGGCCTCGCGGCCGGGCCTCGCGGCCGAGACGCCCTGCCGCGCAGGCCACCGAGGGCCACCGGCAAACAAGCGGCACACGGGCGGGCCCAGAGCGCGGTGCGGCGCGAGAGGAGGCTGGGTGGGGGGAGGACCGCAAGGGGAGGGAGGGGCAAGAGGAGGAGCAGGAACAGGGCGGAGAGGAGGGAGCAAGCGGATGAGCATCAGCAGCACGAGAAGGATTGGGGAGGGCGCTGGGGAGCGAGGATCAGCAGAAAGAGGATGATGAGGGCTGTGTGGATAGATAGGTGAGGGGGATCGGACGAAAACCTCAATGAGATGGGATGGGGACGGGCAGGGAAGGAAAAGAGGCGGAGGCGAGGGAGGGGGACGCAGACACAGGGGGCGGATCCTTGGATGGAGGATACGAAGGCGGGAGTGAGGGATTGAGGGGACGAGGGAGGGAGGGAGGGAGAGGACGAGGGAGGGAGGATGAAACGAGGGAGGGAGGAGGGAACCAGGGAGGGAGGGAGGCATGCAGGGAGGGGGCGAGGGGACGTGGAAGGGCGCGAGGCCGACATGGGCACCTGGGGAGCGATGGAGGAGGCTGACGTGGGCCCGGCCTGCGCCGGCTGCTCCTGCGGCTCGGCGCCCTCGCCCTTCTTGCCCTTCTTGCCCTTGCCCTCGCCCTTCTTCGGCCGGTCCGGCTCGTCCCAGGGGTCCTTGAACCTCGGAGGGTCCGAGAGCCGCGGGGGGCGGACGCGTGCGCCACTCGAGGGCGGCGAAACGGGGCGGGTCCTGCGCGAGGAGGTGCAGTGAACTCACGCCGCGGCTCACGTGGGCGGCCAGCGTTGTGCACCGCGTGGAGAAGAGGGGGCGTTCCCGCGCGGCCTTGCGCGGGGAGCTTACACACCAATGTCCGCGCAATCGACCCCGCTGTCTTCCGTCGCCCACTTGGGGAGACGAAAAGGAACATGTCTTGCGCGAGATGCCGCAGCGACCCTACGCGGTGGCTTGCGCAGCCCGCCAGCGCGGCACGCTTTGGCAACGCGGGCGCTGGAAACGCTTGGGAAGCCCCTTCGAGTGCTGGAGGCAGGAGGGCGCTGCTCACCAGCCTGGAACATATCCCTATCCCTATGCTGGGCACCTCCTCATCACGATGCCAATCTTAGGGATTCGCTTATTTTTTGAAGGCTGATCCCTAAGATTGTCATCGCCTTTTCGCGTGTCAATCTAGGGATAGGGATACGTTCGAGACTGGTAAGCTGCAGGCGGAGCGGGACCCGAGGAGCCAGACAAAGCCGAACTCTCGGCGCACGTCCTGCTGCCGCGGGGCCCCTCGGAGGCGACAGATCCGGAGGGTCGACTGGGTGCCGCGGCCGTTACAAACTGCGCCAGAACGCCGCGCGACTCTCTGGAGCGGACTGCGCGCTCGTGCCCCATCCCGCTCCGCGGACCAACCGCTGCCCCTTGCGGCCCCATGGTGGCCCTTCCTCCCGACTTCCCTCCGCTCTGCCGCTGGGGACAGGACAGGGGCAACATCCGCGAGGGCTACGCGAGTGCTTGGCTGCACCTGACGTAACCCTTGGCTGCTCTTCAACCCCGCTCCGCAAAGACTACCGCAGGGGCGCCGTCTAACGGCAGAGGGTACGGAGGAGGAAGTACGATGACAAGCATTCTTGAACGATTAGATGCGCTGGAGTGGCGCTCGCAAGCGTAGTTACCATGCCGAACACTCACAATGCGGGCCCCAACGAGGGCAGCGATCCCATCACAAATGGTTACGGAGCGCAAGGAACGTAGCGGCAGCCATTGCGGAGCGCAAGGAACGCAGCGGCAGCCGCACGGGAGAACCTGGCACATCGCGACACTGCAAACTCTCCCAACGATCTCCTTCCCTAACGCGCGGAGCGCGCCAGGGGGGGCGCCAAAGGCGCCGCCAGGTGGGCTCAGTGCCGATGCAAGAAATCAGCGCGGACCTTCGAAAATGTATGTTTGCGCTGTGCTCCCTTGCTTTCGAACATCCCTGCCCCCGCTGCCTGGCTGAGGTTCGGAGATTGCGAGCGGCCGCGAGCGACGTTGACCCCCCCCCCCGCACATCGCACGGTTTTTATACTATCCCCGAGAGCGCCCGTTGCCGGCCCCGCCCGCCGCCCCCTCCTCCCCTGGTGGCCCGACTTCAGGCGGGCAACGTCGCGGCACCACAAAAAGCCTCCACTTTGGAGTCCCGAAACGGTGCGGTGACAGACCGTGCGGTGACCTCGAGATCCTCCAAGACCTCACCGCACGGTCCGTCAACGCACGGTTTCGGGACCTCGGATGCCCCAGTCGCCCGAGACGTCCTCGGAGAACGACCCGAGTCCCAAAACCGTGCGGTGACCTCGAATCCCCACCGACTCACCGCACGGTGTGGTCACCACCCCGCTTGGGGACCCCCGATCCACAGTTTGGACGCCCGACATGGGTACGGAAAGAATGGGTACAATGCCCAACAGCAGTTCCTGTTCATTTTGAACAGGACTCGCTGTCCACGCCGCCGCGGCCTGTGTCCATTTGAGACAGGGGGCCGCCTGCCCAACAGCGGCCGCTGTTAGTTTGGGACAACATTTGCTGTTGGGCATTGCGCCCATTCTTTCCGTGCCCATTTCGGGCGTCCAAACACAGGGCCCGCTCGACCTCACGCTCGGCACCGGAGCGCCCCGACATCCGGCCCGCGCCCCGCGACGCCCTGCTCCCCGTGCCCACCGCGCGGGGGCCGCCCGGGGCGCGCGCGGGGCGGGCCCCCGCACGGCAAGCGCCGTGCCGTGCTGAGACTGGCGCTGACCCCTGATCCGGCGTGGATCGTTCCAGAACCGGCTACACGCAAGAGTGACCCTGGGTAAGAGTGACCTTTGGTGCGCGGCTTCTTTGGGGCCGCGGGGGGACTCAACCTGGGCGCGCAAGCCGATGCTCCTGCTTCGTTTTCAGCCATCTGGGGACCCATCTGTGTCCGCACCAAAGGTCACTCGGGCGAAAGGTCACTCTGGCGTCTAGTCGACAGAAGGCGCAGCCAGGGCGAGGAGACACTTCCAGACACGACCGCGTCGTAGGGAGATCAGGACGGGAGGCTTTTGGCCAATGTCGGCCTCGGGGTGGCTCGCCGGGCCTCGGGACCGTCAAACAACGACTCGGGATGAAAAGCCGGCCCTGGGGAAAGGGTCTGGACTTCCAGGGGCGCCGTCCTGAAAAGATCAGGACGTCGCATGTCTGGGTTCGTGTGAGTCTCTGAGATCCCGCGGCTTTGGAGGATGTCTCGCGCGCCGCGGCCTTCTCAGAGCGTTCTGGAACGCTCAGGGAGCGCTCTGGAACGATATATCCTCGTTGTGGCCCCGCCCGAGGATCGTTCAACCTCGAACGATCCGCCGTTTGTGACACGGCTGATCGTTCGACATCGACTGATTGTGGGTCCCCAGCGGTGTTCAAAATCGAACGCCGGCGGCGGGGTCGTTACTGGTCGACACGACGCGAACCTACCGTGCCGTGGTCGCCGCCTTGCGCTCGGCGCCGCGGGCAACTCTCTTTGTGTCAAGTGGCCCAAAACTTTAGGAAGCACGGAAGTGCTTGGTCGTCCCCATGGCGCCCAGTAGCGCGCCCAATCCCGCAAAGCGGACATGATGCATCTCCCGCACATGGCGCTCTCGCGCGCTGCAGGTCGCTGGTGGGCACCATGTGAGCGCTACTCGGCGCTACTGGGCGCCATGTCTACACCGATATACATTTGGATCAATGCGCTCGAAGCTTCCGCGACTCAGTCTCTCACGGAACCTGCCCGCGCAGGACTGCACCTATCCTGCAACAGAACAAGCGGAGGCAGGAGAGACTGAGCCTTTCCGCCGGCGCCAGCCCTTCGTCCCGAACTGCTTCTGGGAGGGCCCAGGGACCAAATCCGCCGCGGGGGATTTGCGATATATTACACAACGGCAGACGTATGGTTTTTCTGATGTTTGCGAGAAGGCACTTTGCGAGTAGTGGAGCGCGCTCGGCGAACGGTTAAAAGCCTCAGGACCCGTGGGCCCAATTCCCCAACGAGCGGATCTTTACTGGGACTAAGAGCGGTTAGAAACCTCAGGACACGTGGACCCGAGGAAGAAGGAGCAGATCTGGAACGGGCTGAGGCTTCAGGAGAAGGAGGAGGAGGGCTAAAACTGGCGCCCGTGGCTCCCTCCTCCTCCTCCTCCTCCTCCTCCTCCTCCTCTTCCTTCTCCTCCTCATTCTCCTCCTCCTTCCCTCCCCTTCCCTCCGGAGCAGATCTTTAGAGAACGTGAAGGGGGCCGAGCGGCCTTGCACCGTCCCTGAGTGCGGTGGCTGCAGGGGGATGTCTTGCGGCGAAGCTTCTGCCCAGCTCCCTGTTTGAGGAGTGCCTGCCCCCTCCGGCTGGGCCACGGGGCGATCTTCCCGAGCGGAGCTCCTCCTCCTCCTCCTCCTCCTCCTCCTCCTCCTCCTTCTCCTCCTCCTCCCACCACTCCCGCGGGTTCTGACCATCCCAGAAACAAAAACGCTCGGCTCCTGCATTTCCCCCTCCCCTCGTGCCAGTATTGTCGATCCCCCTGGCAACACGTGTTTTTGGTTCCACTGAAGTGCCCCTCCTGGGGCTCACACGCTGTCGTTACAAGCGAAAGACTGGCGCCTACGACGTGACCCCTGGCCCCGGGCCTACAAGACCAACAGCAGCAGCCGCGATATGGATTCACATGTGATTCAAATTCGCACTCTCGCACGGGACTTCCTCACTTTATCCTGGAATTCGCGCTCTCGCGTAGGACTTCTTCCCGCTCATTGAAGCGCCGCGCCCTCGACACTCAGGACTCTACGATTCCTGAATGTGCAGAGCGAGAGCGTACGCTCTCGCTCTGCGCTCTGCGCTGCCGAAGGATTTACTTCGGAACCGCGCTGCTGTTCCAGACTTCCTCGCGACTCATGCTGGACTCACGCTTCAACGACCCGCCGCAAAAACAAGCTTTCTGGGCCCACGAACCGGACACGCCCGTTAGGTTCTGCCGAATGTTCTCCTGCTCTGGGACCCCCCCCCTTTGATGCTGATTTCTCTCGTGATCCATCATTCTCCCTCCCCCTTGTCCATGCCCTCCTCCCTCCTTTCCCCTGCGTTAAGGGCTGCGCCAACAACATGTAGCAGGTGAGGAATACGTAGCACCCCGCAATTGCGGATAAGAATGAGGGGGCCGGCGCGGGCGACGCGGGCGTCGAGCCGGCGGACCTAGTGGCCCTCACGAGTGCAAGAGAGGCCTGGAACGAATGCAAAAGAAACCCGCCGAAGGCGCCGAAAATTTTGGGTGGGTCGCTGGGTGGGTCGCGGGTGGGTCGCGGGTGGGTCGCGAGGTGGGTCGCGGGTGGGTCGCGGGTGGGTCGCGGGGTGGGTCGCGGGTGGGTCTCGGGGTGGGTCTCGGGGTGGGTCGCCGGTGGGTCGCGGGTGGGTCGCTGATGCAGAGGAAACCCGCCGGAAGCGCCAAAATTTTGGCTTGTTCAGTGAACGTAGTTTGGGTCGCGGGTGGGTCGCAGGGTCTCCACCTCCACCTGGATGGAATTCAAAAACAGCCCGCCGCAGGCGCCGAGAATTTTGCGCGGTTTGGGTCGCGGGTGGGTCGCAGGTTCTCCTCTTGGAACGACCTGGAACGCAAAAGAATAACGCCGCAGGCGCCGAAAATTTTGGGTGGGTCGAGGGGTGGGTCGCGGGTGGGTCGCGGTGGGTCGCGGGTGGGTCGCGGGTGGTTCGCGGGTGGGTCGCGAGGTGGGTCGCGGGTGGGTCGCGGGTGGGTCGCGGGTGGGTCGCGGGTGGGTCGCTGGGGGGGTCTCGGGGTGGGTCGCGGGTGGGTCGCGGGGTGGGTCGCGGGTGGGTCGCCGGTGGGTCGCGGGTGGGTCGCGAGGTGGGTCGCGGGGTGGGTCGCGGGGTGGGTCGCGGGTGGGTCGCGGGTGGATCGCGGGGTGGGTCGCGGGTGGGTCGCGGGGCGGGTCTCGGGTGGGACGACGACAACAACAAACAACAAACAACAAACAACAAACAACCAACAACCAACAACCAACAACCACAACAACCACAACAACAACAAAAACAAAAACAACCACAGCAGCAACAACAACAATTTTAAAACCGTTCGCCCTTATATGCTCGAGTGTCCAATAACGCGTATTTCCCAAACCCTCGATACCCGCCCTCTTCGTCTTCGATCGAAACCCTTTTGGGGGGTATACCTTTCTTCCCTGCAGGCCGGGCCCCGGCAAGCGGCGGGGCGGCCGCGGACCGTCGGCCTGGCCAGCGGCAGCGCTGATCGGCGGGGCGGCCGCGGACCGTCGACCCGACCCCAAGAGGGACGGACAGGGGACCGACCAAGACGACGACGACGACGACGACGACGACGTCGAAGACGACGGCGACGACGACGGCGACGACGAGCGAAAGCGAGAGCGAGAGAACAGCAGCAGGGCCACGAAGGGCACGAAGCAGGCCACGAAGGGCGACAGCGGGGACACGAAGGGAATTCGTATGGGGCCACGAAGAGCGCGAACGAGCGGGGGCCACGAAGTGCAGATAATGCGGGGCCACAGAAGGCAACTATGGGGCCACTGAGGGTAGCAACCGGGCCACGTAGGACAGTGAGGGGGAGACAAATGGCGACAGCGGGGCCACGACGGGCATGCACATGGGGCCACAACGGGCGCGATTCCTGGGTGCCTGGGTGTCGAGAGCGCGGCGCTTGGGCAAATTGCAGGAAATTCCAACGCAAGGCCATTCTTCAGTAAGTTGCAAGCAAGTCTCCAGCGAGAACGCGACTCCAGAACGCCGGGAGAGCGATTCTTGAATAAATTGTAAGGAAGTCCCAAGCGAGAGCGCGATTCTTGAATAAAATGCGAGGAAGTCTCGGGCGGGAACGGGGGTCCTGGCTAAATTGTAAGAAGTCTCAGGCGGGAGCCGTTGTTGTTGTAACCGGGGGGCCAGGGGCCCAGTTTGAGCATGAAGACTTTCCCTGACAAAAAACAAAGTGCGAGCGTCGAGGGGCATACTTTGATTGAGAAAAGACAGTATGCACCGGTGGGGGGGATCAACAATAATAATTCTTCAGAACTGAAAATTCAACGACAAAAAAAACAACACCACCACCACCAATAACAACAACACCAACAACAACAACAACAACAACAGCAACAACAACAACAGCAACACCAACAACACCACCACCAACAACAACAACAACCATTTTAAGGCTGTACGCTCTTACTTGCCCGCGAGTCATTCAACACGTATACCCTACACCCTCGATGCCCGGCCCTCTTCGTCTTCGATCACACCCCTTTCGGGGGGATTATTTCTCTTTGCTGGGGCCGGCGGGCTTAGACGTACGGGCAAACCGGAACGGGCGGACAATCCTTCGGGGGCGTACATCTCTCTGCCCGCCATTGGAATTGGCGCGGGCCCTGCAAGAGGAGGAGGGGAAGAACGAGGGAGAGTGGGAGGAAGGGGGGGGGAAGGACGAAGGAAGAGGGAAGATACCACGTTGTGAAGGCGTCCTTGGCGCGCGCGTGGTTCCTGAGCGCCGAAACGCAATTCCAGAATAATTTGTGAGGACGTCGCACGCGAGAGCGCAGTCCTGAGTACATTGTGAGGAAATCTCAGGCGGAAGCGGGGGCCCTGACTAAGTTGCGAGGAAGTCTCAAGCGGGAGCGCCGTTCCTGAGCAAATTGCACGGAAGTCTCAGGCGGGAGCGGGGGTCCTCACTAAATTGCGAGGAAGTCTCAGGCGGGAGCGCCGTTCCTGAGTCAATTGCGTGGAAATGTAAAGCAGGAGAGGGGGTCCTGAGTAAAATTTGAAGAAGTCTCACGCGGGAGCGCAGTTCCCATGTAAATTGCACGGAAGTCTCAAGCGGGAGCGGGGGTCTTGATTACATTGCGAGGAAGTCTCAGACGGGAGCGCCTTGCCTGAGTAAATTGCGCGGAAGTCTCAGGCGGGAGCGGGGGTCCTGAGTAATAATCGAGGAAGTCTCAGGCGGGAGCCGTTGTTGTTGTAGCCCGGGGGGCAGGGGCACAGTTTGAGCAGGAAGACTTTCCTTTAGAAAAAACAAGGTGCGAGCCCCGGGGGTGGCACTTCAATCGACAAAAATCAATGTGCACCGGTGGGGGGGATCAACAATAATTATTCTTCAAGAATGAGAGTTCAATAATCCGCATCGCGGACTTCCACTTCAGCCACGCACCCAGGGACATTGAATGACCGTTCGGTTCAGCCCCCCTCACTCATAGTTATATATATATATATATATATATATCACATACGTATAAATGATATATACTATATACTACAATATAATATGAAACATTATGATACAATCCAATTCGTGTATATATATAATTACAAAAGTACAAGACTTCCCTACATGTCTCCATATGTGCTAGTTGTTTTTCTTCCCCCGCTTCCCAGATCTTCCAATATTTTCTGTGGGATCGAAGAGATTAATTGTGTCTGTGTGCTTCTTCTCCCCCGTGTGCATGTTCGGCGCCGGTGGGGCGCTCGCTGTGCAAAAAACAAACACTTGCGGCGCCTGCGGCGGGCTTTCTCTCAGAGCCTCGCAGGCTGCCCGGCGACCCCGCCGCCCGCTCGCTCTCCTCTGTCACGGCAGGGGCTATATGGTACTATATTCGCCATGGCGCCCGTTGCTAGCCCCTCCCTCCCTCTGGTAGCGTCACGCTTCGCGCCAGCACGGTCTAGGAACTCAACCTGGACGGCGCTGGCACGAATCGTGACGTCGCTCGCCGGCGCCATCACCCCGCTCGCTCTCATCTGCAACTGCAGGGGCTGTATGGTATTATTCGCCCTGGCGCCGGTTATCAGCCCCCTCCCCGCTGGTAGCGTCACGCTTCGCGCCGGCACGGTCTGGGAACTAATGCTAGACGGCGCCGGCGCGACTCGTGACGTTGCCAGCCCCAATTCCCGTCATCTCCCCCCGGTAACGTCCGCTTTCGCTAGGAGGTTCAACACACTGTCCCCAGACATCCGACGTCTCGATTTTGTTCGAGACACGGGCCCCCGACCTCCCGACCACTTCCCCGGGACCGGTTTTCAGCCCGAGTCTGTTTGTTGACCGTCCCGAGGCTCGGCGTGGGCCCCGCGAGGCCAAGAACTGCGAAAAGCCTCCGCCTCGATTTTTTCGAGACGCCCGATGTCTGGGTCTCCAGGACCCCTGCCTTCATGGCGGGGTCGACAGCAGGGTATGCCCAAAGAGGAGAAGGAGGAGGAGGAGGAGGAGGAGGAGGAGGAGGAGGAGGAGGAGGAGGAGGGGGGGAGGAGGAGGAGGGGGGGAGGAGGAGGAGGTGGAGGAGGAGGGAGGAGGAGGGAGGAGGGGGGGAGGAGGAGGAGGGGGGGAAGAGGAGGAGGAGGGGGAGGAGGAGGAGGAGGAGGAGGGGAGGAGGAGGAGGAGGAGGAGGAGGAGGAGGAGGAGAACTCGTCGGGCTCCAGCGCGGGGTTCTGGCCGATGCTGGCCTCGGTCTTGGCCTGGCGGCGGTGGCGGCGGGGCCCGGGGAGGAGAGGAGAGGGGCCCAATTGGGGTGGAGCACGGGGGGGTCTCCTCCTTCTCCTCCTCCCTCCTCCTCCTCCCTCCTCCTCCTCCTCCTCCTCCTCCTCCTCTTCCTCCTCCTCCTGCTCCTCCTCCTCCTCCGCCTTCTACTCCTGAGCAGGAGAGCCCAGAGTCGAATCGCCACGTCGGATCGGCGATCGAAACGCATCGGATCGGCAACAGATCCAGCAGCCACGTCGGGAGAAATCGAACTGGCGGAAATCGGAAGGCTACTATGCCTGCCGTGGGAAAACGAAGTCAAAATCGGAATCTAAAATCGGATCGAATCGGAATCGGAAGCCATCGAAGTCGAATCGAATCGGAGGAGTCGAAACGCGCCCTGGGTAGGAGAGATGGAGGGGTGGCAAGCCAGCTGCGCTCGCACCGTATCTGACAAACAAATTACCCCTCCCACTCATGGCGGTGATGCTTCCCTATACGCCGACGCGTGTCATAGCGGACCTGGTATTAGGTGCAAGCGGAAGTGAGGACTTGCGTACATTGGAGGATGTGGCAGATGATCAGGAGGAGCAGAAGAGAAAGGAAGGAGGAACACGAGGACGACCAGCAGCAGCAGCAGGAGCTTGAGTAGAAAGAGCGGGAGAAGCAGAAGGACCAGGGGAAAGGAGGAGGACGACAACGATGGGGAAAGTCTCGTCTCCAGAAAAGAATCCCGCGCTCGGGCGTGAGTGCCTGTCTGAACGAGGGGAACAACACGCCGATCCTAAAATGAGAGGCCCATGCTGCATCGGCAACATCATATTGAAGGACCGACGACGACCGGCATGAAAAAACCATACGTAGCACCCCTCAGATGCGGATAAGAGTGAGGGGGCGGTGGGGACGTCGGCAGTTTGCGAGACTTTGGAGAAGCCCGCTGCAGGCCCCAAAGTTTCACAAATTCTACAAGCCCGCCGCAGGCGCCGATATTTTTCGTTAAAACAATCTGAGTAGGTCGCGGGTGGGTCGCAAATGGGTCGCGGGTGTAGAGGGCAGAAGATCCACGCCATAATCATCACCCCGACAAGCGAAGCCGTTTAGTAAACGCACACAAGGAATGAATCGAACAAGGCAAGGCTGTTTAGTAAACGCCCAGGGCCGTCTAGTAAACGTCAATTGTCGGGTCAGGGTGGTTCCTCCTCCCTGGAGGGTGCGTCGCGGGGTGGGTCGCGGGTGGGTCGCGGGGTGGGTCGCGGGTGAGTCGCGGATCGGTCGCGGGTGGGTCGCGGGATCCGTCGCGGGGTGGGTCGCGGGTGGATCGCGGGCGAGACGCGGGTGGGTCGCGGGGTGGGTCGCGGGGTGGGTCGCGGGTGGGTCGCGGGGTGGGTCGCGGGGTGGGTCGCGGGTGGGACGACGACAACAGCAACAACAACAACCACAACGACAACAACAACAAGGAACAAGGAACAAGGAACAAGGAACAAGGAACAAGAAACAAGAAACAAGAAACAAGAAACAAGAAACAAGAAACAACAACCACAACCACAACCACAACCACAACCACAACAATAACAACATCATCAACACCAACAACAGCAACAACAATGCAACAAGCAGAATTCTCACCACGAATTCCCTATTCAGCCACGCACCCAAGGACAATGAATGACCGTTCGGCCCCTTCAACTCCAAGATGACCCCAAAGAGGGCCCAAATAGGCAAACATCATTGATGCTCTTTGTGCCTTTCTAGGTGTTTTGCGTTCTCGTGTTTTCGGGCTTCCGACGCTCCAAGATGGCCAAAGAAGCCCCCAAGACGGCCCCAGAGGCCCCCAAGAGGGCCCCAAAACAGCCCAAGAGGCCCCCAAGAGGGCCCCAAGACGGTCCAAGAGAGCCCCAATACGGTCCAAGAGGCGCCCAAGAGGGACCCCGTGACGGCCCTAAAAGGAGGAGCATGAACCCACACTTCGAGCCTTCCGCCCCCAGGAGGCCCCAAGAGGCCCCCGAGAGAGCCCAAGAGGCCCCCGAAGAGGCTCCACGAGGCCCCCAAGAGGCCCCCAAACGGCCCGCAAGAGGCCTCCGAACTGCCTCCAAGAGGCCCCCGAGATGCCTCCCACGGTATCCAAGCGAAAATCCGAGAGGCCTCTGGCCCACAACCAAGGCACGCTTGGCGTGATGGGCCGAAGGCCACCAGATATACACAACGGGCCAGTCGAGGCTCATGCCCTCCCTCCTTCTGACTTCCATGGTCCTGGGCACTCATCCCCCTCTTGCTCCGCCTCCTCCGCACCATATCACAAATTATCCTCCTGCACTTTGCCCTGACGGAGGAGGAGGAGGAGGAGGAGGAGGAGGAGGAGGAGGAGGAGGAGGAGGAGGAGAAGCAGGAGCAGGAGCAGGAGCAGGAGGATGAGGGGGGCACCATTCGACCTTCTTGCGGGGTCAACGGAACGGCGCAGGCCTCTGGGCAATCACCCGGAGTGGCTTTTCAAGACTGGGCTAGCTCATCTTCCTGTCCTGGGTGCCACCAGCGATGACCACCCCCAACCCCGCTGTCACGAATGGGGCAGGACCGCGCGCGCGAACCGCAGTTGCGCCGAAACTGGCCTTGTCCCTGTCTTTCTGCTGTTGGCTCTTCTCCGTGTTGTCGTACTTGAACCCCTGGTCCGGGCGCGGAGGGAGATGATATCATGGAGAGGAGGGAGGAACGAGGAGGGAGGAGGAGGAGGAAGGTAAAGAGGGAGAGGTGGCAGATGGGCGGGTGTTCGGAGGAATGAAAGGAGTTGAAGTGAGACATCGGTTTGGAAAACACGCCAACACTCCATCAGAGAGCAGTTGGCCCTCCGTCCATTGATGCAACTGTGAGCCTTTCCAACCACATGCTACGACGAACTTCCATGCCCGTCGGGGCCGCCCGAAAGGCACCTCCAGTGGTGATGCAGGCGGGTTCTACAGACAAGGCAGGCACTCTCAAGGAAAAGGATGATGTCGAGGACGACGACTAGGGAACAGATGGGACGGCTGGAGCCAGGATGAGTTTGGGCATCAGTTCTTAGGGGGCGTCCACGAACACGAGCGCGTTACTTCACTTTCAACGATCGTGTGCACTATAGGGGGGGGGCAGGGGGGTATAATGTAACACCTCCCCCCCCGCTGTGTGGCTCCGGCACCACAGCCGCGCCAGCGCGCGCGACGACGATGAACGACGAACGACGAGCGACGAGCGACGACGACGACGCGAGCAGCATGTAGGTAGCGACCTGCCCCACAGCGCCTGTGTACACCACAATGCTCGCGTGCACCACAGCGCGCGTGTACGCCACAACTCCTGCGTACACCGCAACAGCCGTGTGCGACGCAGCAACTGTGTACACCACAATGCCTGCGTGTACCACAGCGCTGGTCTGCAGCACAGCGAATGTGTAACAGCGCAGCAACCATGAGCAACACAGCGCCTGTGTACACCACAGTGCTTGCGTGCACCACAGCGTTGGTGTACAGTACAGCGAATGTGTACCACCGCAGCATCCATGTGCAACACAGCGCCTGCGTACACCACAATGCTTGCGTGCACCGCAGCCTGTGAACACCACAACGCCTGTCTACACCACAGCATTCGCGTGCACGCAGCGCTGGTATACACCACAATGTCTGCGTGCACAGGAAAGGTAGAACGAGCATGCAGGTGTGGATCTGAGGCGGACAGGCAAACGCCACGCCAGGAAAATGCTGATAATAGAATGCGACGGTCTTCTCTTATCCCTCCTCCTCCTCCTCCTCCCCCTCCTCGTCCTCCCCCCCCCTCCTCCTCCTCCTCCTCCTCCTCCTCCTCCTCCTCCTCCTCCTCCTCCTCCTCCTCCTCCTCCTCCTCCTCCTCCTCCTCCTCCTCCTCCTCCTATGCGGATTCCTATCCTATGCGGACGCCGATCCGGATCCCCATGCGCACGGCGGCAGTGCCCGGAGCGCACTGGGGGGGAGGGGCGCTACGTTATAGTGGGGGGGAAGGCAGGGGGCTATAATGCCCATTATGCCCCAAGCAACATAGAAATACGCTCCAACACGCAGAGCGTCTGATGCAACCCTCGGCCTCAGATCCACAGACGGCCTGCAACATATGACTCCTGCAGGCGGGGGCAGGACCGTGGGAGCGACTACAGGAACCGATACCCGACCATAATTCGCGGGGGGGAGACGCATGGCACAAGCAAGCGGCAGGGAAGAGACGGAGGAGAAGGAACACGAGGAGGAGGAGAGGGAGGAGGAGGAGGAGGAGGAGGAGGAGGAGGAGGAGGAGGAGGAGGAGGAGGAGGAAGAAGAGGGCACACAGCGGCAGCGCCTGCGCCCAGGAGAAAAGAGATAAAAAAACGAAAACGGCGGAGGGACGGGACCAAGGAGGAGAGCGCGAGAGAAATGCGGAAGGACATCCTAGGGATCCCCCCTACTTTTCTATCTCAAATCCCCTCACCTCTCCCCCACCTCCCCTCCCTACACCTCCCCCCCCCTCCGTCATTTCACTACGCCTATGCCCCGTCCACTTCCCTCTCTCCTTTGCCTGCCTCCCTCACCTGGTCAGCACATGCCCGCCCAACACCACAAGGAGATGGCAAAGGGGGGAGGAGATGAGGATGAGCAGGAGGAAAAAAGGTGAGGCGGGATCAAAGACGAAGAGGAGTAGAGCGGAGGATGGAGGCTAGGCAGAGGGAGACGGGGGATTGGAGGAGCAGGGGGAGGAGTGGGAGGGGGTTGGGCGGGGAAGATGGAGGCGGGGGTGCGACATTGAAACGGGGAGCAAGAGCGGGATGGAGGAAGGATGACGGGAAACAAAAAATGGGGTGGGGTCCCCGTGCGAACGGAAAACCACCTCGAGCGAACTGGCCCGAAGGCGCTTCGAAACGCATCGCTGCTGAAGCCGAAGCCAAAGCTGAGATGCACAAAGGAAGGAAATGAACCCACCTCTCGAGCTCAAAAAACAAGCCAACTTTGGGGATCAAGAAAAAACCGGGGGTGGCAAGGAGAGAAGAACAATGGGCGGAGGAAAAAGTTATGGGCGGGGAGGGGGGCGGGAAAGGAGCCGCAGCCCCCGCGGCCTTGCCGCCGAAGCCGCCCCATTTCCTTTTCTTTTTGGCCTGGCCGGTGTTGACCATGGACTGGTACCCCTCGCTGGGCGAAAAGGGGGAAAACGATGAGGAGTACCGTGAATACACTGATGGTTGAAAGAGTGATTGTGGCAGAAAGGGTGATGAGTATCAGGACGAATCTGATGCTGAGGACGACGTTGCCGATGCCGATTGCGACGACGCGGGGAATGCGGATGTTGATGACGGTGATGGTGGCGATGGTGATAATGATGTTGATGCTGCTGAAGATGCTACTTCCTCCTTGTCCACCATGCATTCCGAAGGGCGCGCTCGGTGCATGCCTGGGTGAGACAGGAACCATACGATCGGCACGCCGATGTTCATCCAAAGGCACGTCTAAAAAAACTACTCCCTACATCTCGGGACCACCGGGGAGATCGGCGCGACAAGCTTCGTCCAATGTGTCGGCACGGAGACCTGCGCGAGCATCCTTATCACCGACCGCACGACATTCACCGTCATCATGAAGACCCAGAACGTGTTCCGGCAAGAGACGCCCCACGGGCGCCAATAAAAATGCGCACGAAAGGACTCCTCGATCACGGCGTTCATCTGGTCCAGCAAGACCTGGAGGAACGGTCGGGACAAAAAAGAGAATCTGCACGAACATGCGGGTCCGCAAGGACATGTAGATTTGCACGCGCACGCAAATGTGCACGAACAGGCAAATCAAGTAGACTCTGCACAAACGAGAATGATCTGCGCGAACAGGTAGCTCTGCGAAACCTGCTCGGACAAGTAAATCTGCAAGAACAGCAAGATCCGCGCGAACGCGTATTTCGGGGAGGTCTGCACGAACAGGCGGCTCTGAAGGAACTGGCCGACGGGCACGAACAGGCGGATCCGTACGAAAAAAAAAAGAGGCAACAGCGTGGAATGGGGATTCCCCGCTGCAATGTCCCGGCGGATAACCGCGGGGTGCGCTTGGAGGCCGCGAGGAGGACGTCGACCTCCACGCCCATATCCTCCATGACGTCCTCCACCCAATCCTCCTCCGCCTTCCAAACGCCAGCTCGTGAACCTTCTCAAGCAGCACCACCCTGGCATCCCCCTCCCCATCGTCCTCCTCCTCCTGGCCATCCTGGTCCTCCCCGTCCCCATCCTTCTCCTCACCCTGCTGCTCCTCCTCCTCCTCATCCTCCTCGCCCTGCTGCGACTCCTCCTCCTCCTCCTCCTCCTCCTTCTCCTCCTCCTCCTCCTCCTCCTCCTCCTCTTCCTCCTCCTCCTCCTTCCCATCCCTCTTCCTCGTCCTCCTCCCCCCCTCCTCCACCAGATCATGAAGAAAACGCGGCAGGCTGCATGAATAAGACGGCGCCGATGCACCTACATCCGCAGGCAACTTGCGCGCGGGTAAACGCGCAATCGATCCCCGCGGCATCGCCCCCCCAACTTCAAACTAGGCGGTGCAACGGACCGTTTCTGTCAAAGCCTCGTCTCCCCCCTCGGGGGCGGTTAACCCACCCATCCTGCTAGCAGACCGTGGAGGCCTTGGACAAGGAATCCAGGGTCTGGAGCCTGGTGGAGGTCCACTTGCGTGGACCTGGGGGGGGCAGAAATTGTCCACCCCCAATCATTGTGAGCTCTCTACCCTCCTTCCGTCACCACTCCCTCCCCCCCTACTTCCTCCTCCCTCCCGCCTCCCTCCTCCCTTCCCCCTCCCTCCCACCTCCTTCCCGCCCTCCCTCCGCCTCAGATCCGCTGGAGGAGGGCGACAGGTGAGCGGTTGCGGTTGCGGTTGCGCGCCCGTGTGCGGTTTGAAATGTGTCGCCCAGTTGCGGTTGCGCGCCCGCGGGCGGGTTGAAGTGTGTCGCCCAGTTGCGGTTGCGGTTGCGCGCCCGCGGGCGGGTTGAAATGTGTCGCCCAGTTGAGGTTGCGCGCCCGCGGGCGGGTTGAAATGTGTCGCCCAGGTGCGGTTGCGGTTGCGCGCCCGCGGGCGGGTTGAAATGAGTCGCCCAGTAGCGGTTGCAGTTGCGCGCCCGCGGGCGGGTTGAAATGGAAATGTGTCGCCCAGGTGCGGTTGCGGTTGCGCGCCCGCGGGCGGGTTGAAATGTGTCGCCCAGTTGCGGTTGTGGTTGCGCGCCCGCGGGCGGGTTGAAATGTGTCGCCCAGTTGCGGTTGCGCGCCCGCGGGCGGGTTGAAATGTATCGCCCAGGTGCGATTGCGGTTGCGCGCCCGCGGGTGGGTTGATCTGTGTCGCCCAATTGCGATCGCGCGCCCGCGGACGGGTCGAAATGTGTCGCCCAGTTGCGGTTGCGCGCCCGCGGGCGGTTTGAAATATGTTGCTCCAAGTGTCCTCCTGACGTTCAGCCAGCGAATCAGTCAGTCAATAATCAGTCAGTCAGGCACCGGCGGGCACGGAATTCCACCCGGCTCACCCGGAAAAAACTGCACCATGTATATCTGCGCGGACAGCCGCGTCGCCATGAGCGCGAAACTCACCGTCATCGTGGAGACGTGGAACGCGGCCGCCAGGACGCCCCATTGTCGTCAGGAAGAGGTGCGCGAACCGACCCTTCGATCATGGCAATCATCTGGCTCAGCAAACCCGTGGAGGAACGGTCGGACAACAACAAGAGGCGTACCTGCACGAACAAACGAATCTGGACGAACAAGTAAAGCTGCACGAACAGGTGGATATGCACGAGCAGGTGCGATCATATAGATTTGAACGAACAGGTATATATGCACGAACAAAAAGTTAGCCCTGAGCGAACCAACGGGTCGGCCCGAACAGATATATCTGAACGATCAGGCACGAACAGGGCTATTTGCACGATAGGTAGCCCTGCACGAACAGGTCTATCAGACGATCAGGCAGACCAGCACGAACAAGTCTATCCGCACGAGAGGTAGCCCTGCACGAGCAGGCAATCCCGCACGAACTCGGAGGCCCGCGCGAACAGAAAGATCTGCACGAACAGAAAGATTGCAAAGAACAATTAGATCGGCACCAAAAAGTAAATCGGCACGACGGCGTACATCTGCACAAACAATTTGATCGGGAGGATCTGCGCGTAAGGGTCGATCTGCACGAACAGGAATAGCAACGTCCCTGAGCACGAAGACCTCCGCGTCCAACTTGACTGGGGAACGAAGCGCCAGAAATGGAACAAAAATACCATCGTGTACATCAGCGTGTGTCCCCGGAGCCTTGGCACTGGGCCGAAGCCAATCCTGCCCGAGGACGTCAGCGACAGCGGATCGCCCCCCGCGGCGTGCTCACCCCGAGGCCGATGAAGCTGAAACCGCAGGCCGTGATGGTGATCATGGTGACCATGCCCCCTGCCACCAGGACCAGCGCCGCCATCAACGGCGCCGTCTGGTAGAGCGAAATCCAGAAACAAGCATCCGTAGTCCCAGCTGGTTGACGCTAGCCGCGGTTAACGATTGGATGCTGGGACACGACCTGCGCAAAATCACCAGTGCTGCGCAAGCGCAGCATCTGAATCATGTCCGAGGGGTCCAGCACGGAACGAACCACGATTTTGATTTTAGCACGACCTGCGGCCTGGGCGGCCCCAGAAGCAGTGTGCACCGAGAAACCCTGGAGGTTATGCCTTCGCACCCAGTCAAGCCGAGTCACAACGACAATGGGCATTGATATGGACGGGCCGCGGGACGCGGGGGGCGCAGGCGCCCCGAGGGCAAGCTCGTGCTTGGGCCAAAACGACTCCGATGATGACGATGAAGCTGATGATGATGATGATGACGACGACGGTGATGATGATCTTGATGATGATGATGATGATGATGATGATGGTGATGATGATGATGATGATGATGACGGTGATAATGATGACGATGATGATGACGATGATGATGATGATGATGCTGATCACGACGACAACGATGAAAATGACTATGATTGTGGTAATGGTGGTGGTAATGATACTGATGATGACGATGATGACGTTGTTGTTGTTGTTGATGATGATGATGATGATGATGATGATGATGATGATGACGGTGACACTGGTGACGACGACGATGACGATGATACGGATGACGATGATTCCGACGATGTCGATGACAATAGTGAAGCTGATGATGATGAGGATGATGACGAAGATGAAGATGAAGATGAAGATGATGATGATGATGATGATGATGATGATGATGTTGATGTTGATGTCGATGGTGATGATGATGATGATGAAGATGATGATGCTGATGCTGATGATGATGATGATGATGATGATGATGATGATGATGTCGATGACGCTGGTGCTGATGATGATGATGATGATGATGATGATGATGATGATGACGATGATGCTGACGAGCGAAGGGCATGAGATGGCCATCTCAGAACGACAGTCGAGAGCCCGCCGCCCTGGACAGTGAGGGACGGGGCTGGCGCCCCTAGGTGGTTCCCCTCCCTCCTCCAGAGGCTCTGATCGGAGGATTGAGCAGGGACCAACCATCCCGGCATTCCTATAGGCCTACCACGATATGTTCTTAGAACCCTTATAACATAAAACCGATGTGTAAAACAAGACAGTCCCAGCCAGAAATGTTTCAACATGTCGTGGAAACCACAAGACGTTCTTAGAACACTGTTTGGCAGGCCTATATGCACACCCGGACGCCTCGCCGCTGCTTGAGAGGAGGGCCAGTCGAGACATCGGCAGCTCGCCCGCCCGGCCTGCATCCGCTCAGAGTCCATCCCCAGACCCCTCCCAGGGTCCATCCTGGAAACAAAAACAAAAAACATCTCTGGCCAGGGCCGAACCTAAACGGTGTTGTTCGTTTTCGTTTTCCCTCGTGTTATCTGCCATCCGCCTTTAAAACGAAATCGGAACGAAAACATCCCACGAAATCGCAAAAACACTGTTTAGGTCCAGCCCTGCCTCTGGACCCCGGCAGCGTCGTCGTCGTCGTCGTCGTCGACGCCGCCGCCTTTGTCGTCGTCGTCCCCCTTCACGGTCTGTGGCACCGGCAAGAGACATGACTGTCGTCCGCTGCTCCTCGATCGTGGCTCCTCCTCCTTGCTGGACGCCTCTGAAGCCCCTGGACCCCCAAGACAAGCCCTCGATCCCTCGATTCTCTTCCGTGATCCCTCGATTCTCCATTCCTTTCCCGTATGAATAACTCCTCCTGGTCGCACCCCGAGGCAGGTCGAAAGGGCGGACCAGGTGCTTCGCGTGAGACTGCCTCACCATAATATGACAACAACTTCATTCATAGAAGGCGGGCGGATTCCAAAATGTGGCTCTCGCCTTAGCGCCGCGCACATTCGTTTAAAACATTGCACGAGTTTCACGGATTGAGGGCGGTGCGTGTTCAAAGTGTGGCCCTCGCCTTAGCGCCGCGCACTTCTGTTTGAAGCATTTGCAAGGGTGTCACGGATTGAGGGCGGGTCGTTTTCAAAATGATGTCCTCGCCTTAGCGCCGCGCACATTCGTTTCTAAACATGCGCATGAAATTTCACCACGTGTTGAAGGCGGGCTTTTCTTTAAAATGTGGCTCTCACCTTAGTGCCGTGCACATTCGTGTTAAACAAGTGTAAGAGTTTCACGGATTCAGGGCGGTTCCTTCTCAACACGTGGATCTCGCCTTAGCGCCGCGCACATTCTCTCTAACAGCTTGAGAAACATGTTTACGGATTGAGGGCGGTTCCTTTTCGAATGTGGCTCTCGCCTCAACACCGCGCACGTTCGTTGTAGGCAGTTGTACTGGTTTCACTGCTTCGCATGGTGAACATACCAGAAACTCTATCGGCGGTGGACAAACCTCCCTTTAGTAGACCTCCCCTTAAAGAAAACGGCCTGGGACCGAAACCGACGGACCTGGACCCGCAAAAATAACGGCCGCGACGCCCTCTCGCGAACCGAAAACGGCCAATTCCTCAATCGACGTGTCAGGGTAGGAGGTCTGTCCACCCCCGAACCAGGAAAGGTGTTCTGGAACGACTGAAGGACTGTCAGGGCGCAACCGTTGCGCTGATTCGCGGCGTTGACGCCCCAGGAAGGGCGTCCTGGCACGCTTCTGGATCGCCAGACGTGGCAGCCCTGAGAACGGTGTTTTGGCACAGTCCCCCAACGGGGCATTCCCCTTCGTGGGAATGACCCTTGTATAGGGTCCTATGGAGAGGGATCGTGGAGGGAGGGTCTATTTCAACATCGCTGATGAGTCTTGGGTCTATACTGGTCCTTCTCCTCCTCCTCCTCCTCCTCCTCCTCCTCGATCCCTCGATCATGCTCCATCCCTCCTCGATGTCCTCCTCCTCCTCCTCCTTCTCCGCCTGCTGCTGCCACTCCTCCCCAGGCCTCGGACGCAGCTCCTTCTTTGTCACAGCACGGACCCCAAGGGGTCTAGACCGCCCGGACCCTTGCCTGGGACCGTCCAGACCGTCTGGGCCGTCCAGACTGTCTAGGGCGTCTATGAAGGGGCCCTGGGACACACAGATAAATACACACAAATAACAGGATCCCCCATATGTTCCGATAATTTGTTGTTTTTTTGTCTTCCCCCCACTTCCCATATTTTCCCATATTTTCTGGGGAACCGACGATTAATTGTGTCTGTGTGTTTTTTCCCCTCCTGAGTCTAGACCGTCCAGGGCGTCCAGACCGTTCAGGCCGTCTCCGAGTGTTGCATCTCATGCAGCTCGGAGATCTACGGACCGGGGTCCATCCAAGCACGGGTCAGTCGGGCTTCGCGGGATCCCGCAGGATCTGGCAGGATCCTGCGGGATTCTTCACGCACGCCTGGGTCAATGCAATCCTGGCTCTGCAGGATCCTGCAAGTACCCCCGTTTGCCATGACCCCCGTCTTCCGAGCCCCGAGCAACTAGTTTTGTGAGTGCCCTAGGGCCCAGTGAGGGACCCCAGACGCCGACAAGAGGCAAGACGCAAGACCACTCCGTCCCGACTTTGCCACGAGGCGACGAGGTCTGGGTCCCACTTGAGCAGGGACCGACCGTCCCGGCATTTTTATAGTCCTACCACGAAATGTTCTTAGGACCCAAACATGTTCTAATAACAAAAACACTTGGCTTAGAACATAAACCGCATGCGTTGAAACAAGACAGACTCCGCCAGAAAGATTCTCATAACATTTCGTGGAAACAACAAAAGGTTCTTAGAACATTGTTTGGTAGGGCTATTCGCCGGCCCAACGGGCCAGAGGCGTGCTAAGATCTCCGGTAACTTGTTAACAATATTTCTAGTTCGCGCGCGCGGAGCGGCCCCTGGGGGCCCCCGGACGAAAAGTACCCCGGCAAGGTCCCGAGAGAAGCCCGGGAGAAGCCACCAGACCACTCCAGGGGAGGGTATTTTTCGACACCCCTCACGAGGATCGTGGCCTCCGAGGGGGGAGCCGCAATCGACTACCCCCAAGAGCCCCCCAAGAGGCCCTGGGGGCCTCCAAAACGCCGCCAAGGAGCCCCAAGAGACTCCCAAGAGGTCCCCAAGAGGCCCCCAAGAGGCCCTAAAGAGGGCTCCAGGGCCGGCGGCATGAGCGAAGCGATTAAATAAGCACGCCGGGACGCTTCGCCACTGCTTGAACGAGGTCTGGGTCCCACCCCGGCCCTGGGTCCGACGGGCCCCACGGGACCCCTCGTGGCTCTCGTCCTGGGCAGCTCCTCGAGGCGGATCCCGCCGTTCTGCGGCGAGGCGGCCCGCAGAGAGCCCGAGACGTCCACGGCCCTCGATCCTGGAACATCCTGCCGCCCCTCGCCCTCGCCGATCCTCCATCCTGCCTTGAGTCGAGCCTGTTCCCCTGCAGGGGGATTTTGGTGCGAAAAAATGAAAAGTACTAAACACATGCTCCAAAGATGTTGAAGCATTGTCAACACGAGTCGTCCCCTGACTATTATACATCAATATATATATATACATATAGGTAAAACTATGTTTGAACATTCCTCCTGTAGAGGGACACGCCCGACTTCAATCCTGCCGCCCGCGTGACGCCCAGTGCCCGCGGGCGCCGGCGCGGACGCCGCGCCTCGGCGAGCCGCTTCAGCTTCTCGGGCACCTCCTGGCCGCACTGCCTGCGCCCAGGGCACCCCCGCGGTGGCGGGCAGGCCGCCCTCGCGGGGCCCGTCCGTCTGGCGGCTCGGACAGAAACAAGCAGTCGAGGCGCGAGGACAAAAACATTGATCATATATTTTTAATGTTTCGATGTTGATTACCTAACAGCGAAGACTGATAGGTTTCTAGTAGGCTCAAAAGAGAGCATCATGACTCCTCAGGGGGGTTGATCGCTCCTGGGCCGTCCTGGACCTCCTGGGGCGCGGCTTGGCCACGGCTGGATCCGCCTGGAACGTCTGGCAGCCCGAGGCTCCCAGGGAACCCCCGAGAGGCTCCCCACAGGCCCTCGCGAAACCCCCAGGAGGCCCCAAGAGGACGCCGAGAGCCCTCCGCCTCCTCCTCCTCCTCCTCCTCCTCCTCCTCCTCCTCCTCCTCCTCCTCCTCCTCCTCCTCCTCCGTCTTCCCCCACGAACAGTTTCCAAGGGTCCCGCAACGGCTGGGGGAAGGCACGCTCCAAGATCTTGGCCAGACTTCGGCCCAACGTGCGGCAACAACACTGACGATTCAGACAGGCAGAGAGCGGCGTTGGTTCGCCGCCGGCGTCCTTTGCGAACTCGTGCTGAGACAACTGGGGGATGTCCGAGAACCAAAAAGCCTGAAACATGCATCGGGTAGCGCGGCCGTTGCTGAGCTTTCTAAAATGCTCTGGGACCCCCGCAACGTTGTCAACTGTGGGCCTCTAGAAGCCTGTCTCTAGCCTTGTGGATGCCGTGACCATGGACACTCTAACAATCCTATCATTGAATTAGGTTTTTGTTTATACTGTGTGCAACATGTTCTAAAACTGTGTCAAACATGTGTTTAACATGTTTAACACACGTTTGAAACATCGTTTAGACATCTGGGTAATATTTGGCAGCATGCTTCCTCTCCAGTGATCGACTTCCACAACTCTGGCCCCCAGGAAAATCAAACCTGATCGGGATGAGGAGCCACATCCGTGGGTTGCTCTGCTCGGCCCTGGGCTCTCATTACCGGAAGGATCGAGCCGCGGGATGTCTGGTGGCGACAGTCCGACGACGTCTTCGTTTTGCACCTCTTGGGGCGGCTCTGGAGGTTCTCGCCGTCGCAGCCGAGCGCGGCTTGGAAGACTGGCTAGGATGGACCTGGGGAGAATTTCGGGGCAAGATGTTGAGCGCACTTGGGCCACACAGAGGCGGACGACCACGATGAGGAGAACGAAAGGAAGAGGCGCAGGTGACTCGGGGCCGCGCAAACATGGATTAGCGATCGATGGGTTTGGCGCGCGGTCGCCACATCCATGGATCTGGGGAGGTGCCCTCCCCGGCCGTTGCCGCCTCGTTCGGCGGCGGAAATCCGCGATCTCCCATGGAAACGGGACCCGTCGCACATCCACGCCCCCGTTGATCCATGCCTGCAATCGCCTGAGTCGAGTCACGGAGATGGAGGACGGATGGAGGGGGGGGGGCGGAGGGAGACTCCGCCGCCGCCTACCACATTAAATCTCTGGCTGGAGACCTCCTGGGGTCCCAGGAGGCCTGCGAAGGCCCCCCTGGAGCGCCGAAGGCGTCCAAAAAAGCCTCCATCCTCTGCGTACGGGAGGCGAGCAGTTGCACAGGCCCGCCTCCCTCCCCTCCCCTCCCCCATCCCAAGACAAAGCCAGGACGAAGATAAATTCGGACAAGGAAAAATCTAAAACCTCTGAGCTCCGGCGGCTCTGGAAGATGCATTGGGCACCGCGGCCCTCTCGGAGCGGTCCAGAACGTTCTGAGAGCATTCTGGAATACTCTGGAACGGAATTATCCTCGTTGCTGGCCCCGTCCGACATCCTCCGCCTCCCCCTCGGACAGGGAGGAGGGAGGCTGATCGGCGCGGCTGTGCCCCTCGGGATCTTCGACCCCCCCCCCGCAGCTGCTGGCCGAGCCGCCTCAAGGCGTCGACCATGTCCTGGGCCCGGTCCCCCTCCTCGGGCTGGATGGTCGAGGAAGAAACACTGGCGCCACCGCAAACTGTCAGAGGTCCGCGCGGCTTGCTTCGATCGGCGCTGGAGCCCCTGGCGGAGCCTCTGGCGTCGCCCCCGGCGCGCTCCGCGCGCCAGGGAGGGGAGTCCGGCGCCGACCCAAGCAATCCGGGCGGGCCTCCGGAAGCTCGCACTCACGCCACGGGTTCTTCCTCGAGGATGAAGGTGAAGGCGAAGCCGGCCTTGCCCGCACGGCCCGTGCGCCCGATCCTCCGGGGCGGGAGGGCGGTGGCAGGCAGGCGATCTCGAGGAGCCTCAATCGAAGCTTGACGACTCTTCTCTAATCGACCTCCTCCTCCTCCTCTTCCTTCTCCTCTTCCTCCTCCCCCTCGTCCTCCCCCTCCTCCTCCCCCACCCCTCTTCCTCCTCCTCGTCCTCCCCCTCCGTTCTTCTCCCATCGACTTGCGGGCGTCAGGCTGGACAAATCTAGGGAAACCCAGGTACATCGCAGTAAGTCCAGATGTTAGCCAGCGCGGATCCCAAACACAGCGTGATCTTGCACTCTATACAGTGCAATCTAGGTGGTGCAAACAATGTGGTGCAATCTAGGTGGTGCTGCCAATGTGGTGCAATCTATGTAGCGCAATGTGATACAAAGCATTGCACAGCGAGGCAAAGCAATGCCAAGCAATGTAAATCAAAGAACTGCGATGCAAAGCAATGCAGATCAATGCCAAGCAATGCAAAGCAATGCCAAGCGATGCAAAGCAAAACAACGCGAAGAAATCTATGTGGTGCAAACTAACGTCGGCGACGAGCGGCGACGTGGCGACGGACCGGCGACGGCGAGCACAAAGCTGCCAGACCGACAGTCAGGCCCATACGATGGGCGGCGGCGAGGCGGCGACGAAACGGCGACGGCGAGCACGGAGCCGCCAGATTGCCCGTCAAGCCAAGTTTCTTTGACGAGAAATAAGACTCTTAAAGTGCAAACCCTGCTTGGAAAGTTGATCAAATCCAAAGATGTCCAGCTAAGCCTGGAACAGATCACGGAAGCTCCAACACGAGTCGAGAGACAACAAGCATCGTTAAGCCCTTGACGAGAGTCGAGTCACGGGCTGCCTTCCGTGAAGCGACATGAGCGGCGTGAGTCCAGGCTCCGAGGGGTCGACAGTCGCAAGCCGCCAGAACGCCCTGGGGGGCGAGTTGGCCTCTACTCGCAGACTGTTGCGTGCATCAACCCTACTCACCGAGGCCACTTTCCTCGTGCCCGATCGAGGATGGTGCACTTTCAGCATGCCAGCGGGTGCCTAAACCCCCCTTCCACGCGTGCACGCTCGATGACGGTGTAACTCCCGCATGGCAGCTTATGCCTGAACCGCTTTGCACGCGTGCCCGCTCGAGGAAGGTGCACTTCCCGATTGGCAGCTACTGCCTAAAACCCCCTTCCACGCGCACCCGCTCGAAGATGGTGCACACCCCGCACGGCAGCTAATGCCTGAATCCTCATTCCATGCGCGCACGATGGAGGATTGAGCACTTCCGCATGGCTGCTACCTCCTAGACCCTTCATCCCACGGTAACCCGCTCGCAGATAGTGCACTTATCGGATTCCCAGGCGCTGGGGCCTCCCAAGACACGATCCTGGTTAAAAACAATGGATCTGCGTCCTGGGCTTCCAAGACGGCCCGCGCAGGCAACCAAGGATACCAAGATGGCCCAAGATGCCTCGAGGACAGCCCAAGATGGTCCTAGCGGCCGAATATTGCTCCAAGAAGGCCCAAGATGCCTCTGAGAGGGCCCAGGGCCCAAAATGGGCACATGAGGACCTCCGACAGAGTCCGATGACGCCAAAATCATTGATGTCAAATTGGTGTCGGAATGATTCTGGTATTATCGCTTTTTCGGGCTGCCGTCAGCTCACAACGCACCAATCGGACTCCACGATGACCCAAGAGGCATCCAAGACGGCCCATGAGGGGCTCCCGTGGGACCCAAGACGGCATTAGAAGGCCATTCGACGGCCGAAGCCGACGCAAAGACGGCCCCACAACGGCACACAGACACCCACCATATGGCCAAGAGGGCTCAAGAACGGCTCAAGAGAACCCAAAGCCGGCGCAGAAGGGCCCCAAGACGGCCCCAAGGACCCCCGAAAGACTACATCACAGGAGGTCAAGGCAGCCCCAAGATTGCCCAAGCAAGTTCCATTATCATCAGCATCAGCATCAGCATCATCAGCATCATTATAATTATCCTCCTCATCATCCGATCGTCAGCATACTCATCATCATCAGCAGCATCATCATCATCACCATCATCATCAACAACATGATCAACATCATCATCATCATCATCATCATCATCCTCATCCGCATCATCATCATCATCATCATCAGCATCATCATCATCATCATCGCCATCGTCATAATCCACCTCATCCTCATCCTCATCATCGCCACCATCATCATTACAACAATCGTCGTAAATATCATCCACGGCAGTATCATGATCATCAGCATCTTCATCCTCATCATGCTTACCATCGTCACCACCTTCATCGCCATTATCATCAGCATCATCATCAGAGTCAGCATCAGCATCATCACCATGATCATGATCACGATCACAATCGTCACCACCATCATCATCAACCTCATCCTCATCCTCATCATCACCACCATTACCATCACCACCGTCGTCGTAAACATCATCATAGCCATCATCACCACCATCATCATCATCATCAGCATCGCCGCCACCACCAGCATCACCAGCACCAACATCATTATCATCATCATCGCCACCACCACCATCACCATCACCATCACCATCACCATCATCATCAACAACACCACCATCATCATCCTCGTCGCCGTCGTCGCAAGTATCAATATCGTCGGCACCACCGGCATAACCGTGCTCATACGTAAGCACCAACATACCAACAACAACACCATCATCATTTCCATACACATCAACACACATATCATCATCATTATCATCATCAACGTCATCGCAGTGACCACCATCATCGTCCATCGTATCGGCACGACCATTACCACCGTCGGTAACCACAACCATCAAAGAAGAGGTGCTACACGTGACGGCCTGTCGTGCCCCTCGGACAATCGCAGCCCAGAATGCTGGGCGGACATGGTGGCGGATCTTGCCGCGGGCAGCTGGACAGCCTTCGGAGGTCTAGGGAGTGGGGGGGACGAGGAAGGCAGGCCGCTGGACAACACCGAACCCTACCCCTACCCCCTACGATTTCTGATGGGGAGGGTGGGGTTCACCTTGCTCGGGAGCTCCCGAACGGAGTGAACCCCACCCTCCCCCTCAGAAATCGTGGGGGGTAGGGGTAGGGTTCTCATGTGGTCCCCTGTCTGGGGAGGGGGGGGGGGCAGACGAAGGCGGGACAGATCTGGGTCCGGACTCGCTGAGGGGATCGACTCCGCAGCGCGCAGACCGAGCCGATGCTGCGCCGATCGCGAGGCCCCCGCGCCGCGGGCACAGGCGCGCGCAGGGCCGGAGTGCCGAGGCCACGGCGCAGCGTGCGCTGCACCCCGGCCGCTGCCGGAGCCGCAAACGGACGGAGCACGAGGGACGAGGAGACGAGGAGAAGCAGGGAGGGAGAGAGAGAGAGAGAGAGGGACGAGGAGACGAGGAGACGAGGAGACGAGGGAGAGCACGAGGGCCGAGGAGACGAGGAGAAGCAGGGGAAGGGAGAGAGAGAGAGAGGGAGAGAGGGAGAGCGATCCACCGAGAGCATGGCCCTCCCTGCCGACCAACCACAACTGGGGTAGCCGTGTTCCTTACAAGTCGCTCGAAAGAAGTGGGTAGAACCTTGACGTAGGAAAGCGTTGAAACTATACAAATGAGTTCGTTTGCGTCCGACCCCTGAGAAGTGACGAAGAGGGAACACCATTCCGCTCTTGGGATAAGAAGGCGCCGTAAGTACACTGTACATTGGAATCTGGGAATGCAGACATGCATACTTTCAACCACTGATGGCTGCAGGGATGCCGAACACGATGGGCCCTCCAGGGGGGCAAAAGGACGCTGCAGCTCCCCCAGCTGTGGCCGGCTTAGAAGGCGCGGGGCGCTGTGCGGCGCAACTGGGCGCTCTTGGGCACGGGGCGCGCTGTTGGGTGCCACGGGGCGCTATGCATTCCATGCAAGACGAGAAGCAACTCCCGTGACTTACTATTTGCGGGCGTGCAATGAGGGGGCGTGCACGAGGGGGGGGGGGCGCAAATCATGGCCGGCGGCACGTGCGCGGCCCAGGGGGGGGGGCCAGGGACGTAATGAAACAAGAAGAGGCGCCATGATATATATATATATATATATATATCTATCTGGGGAAATATCATGGCCCACGCCATGATATCCTCCCCCACTATAGTCATCACCCCCCTCTTTTCCGCCCCCGACTCTTGGCCGCCCCCGAACTGCCGGGACCGGCCTCCATCGTCCCCGGGACCGGCCTTCGTCGTCCTCCCGCAGCGCTGGCTCTGGGGCGACCCCTGCGCCCCCGGGCGCAGGGCCCCGCGGGTGCCGAAGACTGCCACGGCCCGGCCGGCTGCGGCCTCGACCCCCGAATCCCGGGATTCGGGGCCAGCGCAGCAGGTCTGCTCGCGAATTGCCCGCTCCTGCTTCCATTGACAACGTCCCCTGCCGCCGTCCGCAGGTGCCTCCGGCCGCGCTCTGTGCCGCGACGCGAGGGGCCGACAGCGACGATGAACCGATCGCCAGCAGCGCAGGGGGGGGGGTGGCCGGGAGCGCCACCCGAGCACATCGATTCCTGGGCGTCTCCTGCGGGCCGCGCTCTGGCCCGAGCTCCGGCGCGGCCCGAGCCCGAGGGCGGCGGCGAGGAGGCGCAGCGGAGGCCAAAAGCGCGACCAGGAGCCTCGACCCTCGAACGAGGGGCAACGATATAGTCAACCCGTATGATAAGGACGCACGATAAGGACGCAAGGGCCTTGGGAGGCCATGTCGACACTCTGCGAGCGGGGCGCGGCCAGCGAAATCGGCCGAGGATGGGCAGAAGGGGAAGGATGCAAGGGCAACCTGGGAAAGGTGCTCATTCTAACTATGCGGGTTGACTGCGAACGAACGGGACTCACATAGGAGAGGGGAAAGTCGACCCAGAATCGGCCACAGGCCCCCGAAAGCGAATCGACACCTTCCTGGGCGGGGTGGGGCTATCAGAGCCCTGTAGGCGAGCAGTGGGCGACTGGGGTCGATGTGCCTGGCTCTCTGGCGGCCGT